TCTTATTATTCTCAGGTTAGGTAAATTGAGTCTGGCCTAAATTATAAGCATTTTAAATGACTTACAATTCGGTCCGAAGAGTTCTCTGTGGTATGTTCTTGTTCAAAGTCTTTAAAACACTATAAATCAACACTCAGCTCTGGGCTTCTTGTCCTCAGCTCTAGGCTTCTTGTCCTCAGCTCTGGGCTTCTTGTTCTCAGCTCTGGGCTTCTTGTCCTCAGCTCTAGGCTTCTTGTCCTCAGCTCTGGGCTTCTTGTTCTCAGCTCTGGGCTTCTTTTCCTCAGCTCTGGGCTTCTTGTTCTCAGCTCTGGGCATCTTGTCCTCGGCTCTGGGCTTCTTGTCCTCGGCTCTAGGCTTCTTGTCCTCAGCTCTGGGCTTCTTGTCCTCGGCTCTGGGCTTCTTGTCCTCAGCTCTGGGCTTCTTGTCCTCAGCTCTGGGCTTCTTGTCCTCAGCTCTGGGCTTCTTGTCCTCAGCTCTGGGCTTCTTGTCCTCAGCTCTGGGCTTCTTGTCCTCAGCTCTGGGCTTCTTGTCCTCGGCTCTGGGCTTCTTGTCCTCAGCTCTGGGCTTCTTGTCCTCAGCTCTAGGCTTCTTGTCCTCAGCTCTGGGCTTCTTGTCCTCGGCTCTGGGCTTCTTGTCCTCGGCTCTAGGCTTCTTGTCCTCAGCTCTGGGCTTCTTGTCCTCTTGTCCTCAGCTCTGGGCTTCTTGTCCTCAGCTCTGGGCTTCTTGTCCTCAGCTCTGGGCTTCTTGTCCTCAGCTCTGGGCTTCTTGTCCTCGGCTCTGGACTTCTTGTCCTCAAACGTTCTAGGCGTCGGGGTTTTAGTGACGTATCAATATCCAAAGAGGCAATCAGCTCATCAGTCTTTTATACTCCTGTTGTTTGCCACTGAATTCAGGTTCTAATCTTCTTGATTGATGCAAGTTGTAACTTTCCCAAAGTTTCCAAGATCCTTCTCAAGGCCTTGCACGTGCAAGCTGTCCGCCTTTTCATGTCCTTAAAATCCAGTAAACTCAACCAAGATGACTGATTTCCTTTTAAAGTTCTAGGAGTAGAACCACAGTCTTGTGTGTCCTTGAGCGCACACACACACAAACGCACACACTTTTGCTCCTCCTTCTCGTGGGTAGGAACACACACAGAAATAACTAACTATTTCTGTACATCTCTGCCAAAACAGTTGTATAAGGTATTTCTTAGAAACAAAATAAATAACAACACTGTACACAATGCATTATATTCAATACATTGGCTAAATATGTGTAACAAAAGTAGGCAGGGTAATTGCATTTTCTTGATATTATACAATAGTGTACTTGTACTATAAATCCATTAACATATTTACTGACAAATCGCTTGAGATTTAGTGATATAAATATTATAGTTAAACTTTATTTGGAGTACTTCTTTATTGCACAGTGCACATTTCTTAATATTGAGCCTAAATGTGTTTTAAATATCAATTTTAGTAAGGATAGAAAGATCTCTGTATAATATCAGTCTTTAAATGCAAGATATTTAAAGTATACTTGCAATAGTTTCGTTTTAGCACAATCAAATATATCTTTAGTTGCACCTCAGCACTACTTCCGATTAACTAAAGTACATTAAGTACAAAATTAGTTGTTCCAATTTAGCATACTAAAAGGACAATTGCAATTGCAAGTTCATAAATATGTAAATGTATATGTAGTATACTTAGTATAAAATAAATGTATTTCGAATACATAGTATATACATTTTTCACTTGGGGAGGCTTTATGCTGACAGACTCAATAGACGTGCTGCAATAATGTAAAATATGTGAAAAAATAATGTTTTTGTTTTTTATTCAAGCATGAAAACCTATTCTAGTAGACGCAAAAACAAAATCAAGACTTTGTAAAGGGGCTTTGTAAATGGGTCCTCCTTAATGGTAACACGCCCTTCAAGAAATCATGCTTTTAAAGTGTTAAATCTTTGCCATAATCTATTGTGATATGTTGTTCATCGATAAAGAATCCTGTTGTTTAACTTGTGCCTGTCAGCCAAGCGGCACTTATGAATTGTTACTCTTTTTTTTATTCTCCCCATCATTATTCTTTCACCTTTTTCTTTGCTCTCTCTTTCTGTTTTCTCAGCATCGTTCTTTTCCCCTGCCCTGTAAATATTTCTTTTTTTCCTGTTATTTCTTTCCCATCATCTTTTTTCTCATATCTCTCTGGGTCTGACCTCCAACACGTACACTGTTATAAATGAGAGCTTAACTTTACTTTTGCTTATGTGAGCAGAACAAGGCTCAGTAAAGTCGTTCAGCACCAAATGTCTGTTGTCTAGCCACATGAACGCTTCTCATAAATGCCAGCATTTAATAATGCTCATGTGCGTTAGTCTGGGTATTCAGAGATGAGGCTCACGAGCTGTCCTTCGAGAAACGTTTACAAGGCAGTGTTGCTGTATTCATTTATGATGCGTGGATGCTATTAATCTGTTTTGACACAATGACAGGGTAAAACAATAAAACAAGTCAAAATACAAAAAAAATTATCCAGGCAGGAAATTGGTTATGCAATGAAATAGAAAGCTTCAACGGCTCTACATGTGAAAGGCATTGTTTTGTTTTGTTTTTGTCTAAGATGCATGCAAGGTCATGTGACTTTCTTACTTTATATATAAAGATTTTCTTACTTTTTTAAGCCAGTTATTTATATATTTTACTGTAGTGTGTCAGTAGGAAATATCAGATTATCAGATTTCCAAACATTCCTGCCATTAATTGTAATAATCCAGTGAGATTTTTGTATGCACAAGGATTTTGACAACAGCTGGTCTTGGAGACGTTGCCACAGTTCTTTTGGATTTAGTCTGTCTCAGTTTCTTGTAATCACAGACAGACTTGATGATGGTGAGATCAGATCTCAGTGTGGAGCATACCGGCTGTTGTCAGAATCCTTGTGCATCTCCACAAAAAAAATAAAATAAAAATAAGCAGCAGAATGGTTTTCTACATTGATCATATAAGAAATGTTTCTTGAGTGCCCGAACCAGCATTTTAATGATTTATGAAGGATCATGGACAGGACACTTTCTACAAAGGTCATTTTGGGGGACGGAAATTACTTGTATATAATCCGAATCAATTTCAAGCATTCAGTTGTTTTTGCTCAGATGTTTTGACCAAGCTGCATCAACTTCAGTTCCACTTAAAAAGATTTTGACTTTACAGGCTCTGTTTCAAGAGATCAAAAGTTAAAATAGAAAGAAACAGGAGATGAAAACTGTTTCAATGAACATAGCAGGGCATCTTTTAACCTGTTTTGTCCCCTTGCTGTTTATTAGAAATTAGTGCCAACATGGCCTCTGGTAAAACATCATACTAAAATATTATGGGAGGATCTAATTGTCTGCTCGACCAAATGATTGAGCACATTTTGAGTCACTATATTTTATTGAGAGGAGTACCTAACTCAAACTGATTGAGCCATCTCTACCATCTGGTTGAGGTATGTTATGTCAAAAAAAATCCACTAGATGTCACAGTGTCAATCAACAGCACTTGTCACAACACTTCTTCTAACATGGATGTCAGAAACAAATAAATCACCCCAGCCATGTGAACTGTTTTTAGTGAAATTTTGCAAGCGAAGCATATTTTTTTTGGACATATTACACTGTAAGACCCCTAACTTTACAAAATGATGTTACTTGGTGTCATGAAAAAACTTAAGTATGTTTTTAATAATTTTTCAAAAACATGGTCAACCAAACGGTTGATTTGGCACATAACGGTTAACTGTCACCCCCCTTTTTGAGAATGGACATTACATTGCACTATTAAAACTTGGTTGTAATTCAAGAATGCTTTGGAATAAAGACTTAAGTTTGGTCTTGTTTTAAAGAAAACACTCAGCAGATTATGGCACCTGCCCAGGGACTCCAGATGGGAATTAGCTTTTAGCTAAATCTGGTACAGTACATATTGTACATTGTCCCTGTTAAATAAAATAAAATAAAAAATAAATAAAAATTATTGCTGAAGTAAAAGCATAAAAAATAAAAAAGCATAAAAAATAAAAAAGCATAAAAAATAAAAGTATGAAAAAGTTATGGAAGTTTTAAATTTACATTAAATCAAATATACTGTACTTAATATTTTTTCTTTTATATAAAATATATATTTTACAAAATATTTTTTACTATAAAATTACTATAAAATATCTATATATATATATATATATATATAAAATATACTATAAAATATAAAAAGCCATATATCTAACCAAGTTGTGTTCCAAATTTGAAGTTGATATCACAAAAATTGAAGTTCCCATGAGATTTTGTTTAGGTGTGATACCGAAAATAGCCCCCGGGTGACATAAATTCCATTGAATTTAATTGTATGCATTCTGCCGTTACAAATTAATAAATTTCTGTCCAAATATCACTTCTGTCACAAAATATGGAACCTTGAGACTCAGACCTTTCTGACAATGTGTTTTGTCAAGATTAGAAGTCAAGATTAGAAAAGGTTTTGATCATAAATTATGATGGGCAATGAAAAAAAAAATCCTGTTGCTCTACCACACTTGACGGCAAACATTGTGTTTCTTGAAACATAAAAGCCTAAAATACTAAAATACCAATTATATTACTATCTTTTGCTCTCTTTTTTTAGTTTTTGAATGCAGAAAGAATGTAATGTCTTTGGTTTTGTTACTTTTAGTTATTTGTGTTATTTATTTTTCTGATTTTCATAGTATGTGTATGAATTCCGGTACCATTTTTTACCATTAAGTGACATCTCAACCATTTGGTAGTGGCCGATATTAAAAAAATTATGGGATGTGTTGAAAAAAAATACATTGAGTGTGGTTACTAGCGACATGAGGAGATAAGAAATGCAAAAAAAAAAAAATTTCCATCACTTTTTTCTTGGTGCGGACTTTAAAGGGTTAAAAAACGAATAACTGGTCACAATAAACATTAGTAGTCTAATATTTTTGCTTGATGTTTGTGTTTGGAACAGACAGCAACTTCATCCTGGCCAATGCACAAGTGTCCAAAGGCTTCCCGATTGTGTACTGCTCGGATGGATTCTGTGAGCTCACTGGATTTGCCCGAACCGAGGTCATGCAGCAGAGCTGCGCATGCAAGTTTCTGTATGGGCCGGAGACCACCGAGAACATCATTCTTCACGTGGACTCTGCGCTCGAGGAACGCAGCGAGCTCAAGGAGGAGATAATGTTCTACAAAAAGACTGGTGAGAAAAAAAAAACGTTAGATGATGCATTTAGCTATTGGTGATTTAGCAAGATTTGCAGTATTTCTTCATCACTGTAAAACTTAGAGGCAGTTCTACTGTGAAAGTAGACCAGTAATAATACATGGATGGTTAAACTGATCCATCACTAGTAATAGCACATGGAGGTATTACAGCACACCTTTAAAAAGTGAAATCTCTAGCCATTGTTAGAAGCAGATGGTTTTATTAGAGTTGGTTGGCCAAAAGCACCAGAGAGACTCTAAAGTCGGATTACAAAATAAAGTCCAGCAGGTGTGCAAGTTTATTTGTGGAATTTACGATGACATTGAGAAGAATATACACAATGCTGTCGACTTTATAAATCCAAATTCTAGGATTAATTCTTCTTAATATGGCATATCTCACTCCCTTCCACACTTTATTCTTCCATTCAAGGGGCACTGATGGTAAATTTAGAGCTTGGAGAATGGATGTATTTCTCCCTTCGCTGGATTATTTACTACAAAATACCACCATAGGTACTGTGTTTTTAAGCAGAACCTGTACTCACCATGTTTCACGAATATGGTTATCATTCAGTACCATGGTATACATCCAAGTACCATAGTATCTGCTGCACCATGACACCACCATGGTACATTTCTGTAAGTGTAAAAAATAAATAAATCATATTAAATATATACAAAAAAATATATTTATATTATGTTTTATTCCTCCTGCTCCATATATTATATTATATTATATTTTATTGTATTGTATCATATCATATATCATATGATTTATTTTGCTAAGGTCTTAGATCCTGCTGCTGCCGGGTTTTAACCTCGCTGTACCTTTTTCCTTGTGCTCATTCTCCTCTCCCGCTTTGTTCTGTATTGAATGGAACATCTCCAGCGCACTTGTTCTAGAGAGCGTTATTATTTCATCCCCTTTTCTTCTCCATAATGGTGAGGCTTTTTCGTGAGGAAATGAGAGATTTGACAAAGACTTCTCCAGCTGTGAGCAATCAGACGGAATTCCCCTAGAGGCTTCCAGTAACAGCTACTGGTGAAGAGAGAAACACACACACACACACAGACACACAGACACACAACTAAGCATACATATAAATGTCCTGCCGCACACCCACACCGCTCAATACAGACAGACAAACAAGACAAGCATTCACACACACACCTACATGGGAATTGGGTACCATAATGGTGCTGCTCTTTTTGGATGTGCTGATCTTTTTTTGTTTCAGGTTTTTTAACACTTAAAATAGACTGAAAGTAATGCTTTGCCAAGTAAGCTAAAAATGTGCTTCCTGTGGTAACATTTAATTAACTAGTTTTATTCAATTCGGAAAAACTATTTAAAGTCACTGTGAATTGCAACTTATTTTACTTCTATAATCTGACCTATTCCCTGGACCAGAATTAGGTGCAAATTTGCTAAAACAATGCTCAAGTAGATAATGGTTGACTTTTTCCGATAGCCAGAGTGGCATTAGAGACATTATTAGAAAAGAGAAGACATTTCAGAGGTTCAGCAAGTTTTGATTTTGATTCTGAAGACAAATTATTTTTCTTTGGAATAATGTGCATTGATGAACCCGTTCAAAATAACTCCAGGAATGTCATCCTCCTCATTTATATAGCGCTTTTAACAATGTAGATTGTTTCAAAGCAGCTGTACAGAGATAAACTTAATATAATTTAAGGTAACACAGATTGGTTTGGTTTTATAGCGGTTCTTGAATAATGTTATTTTCCAGCTAAAGTTAGTTTTGATTTATTCACTTCCGGTGAAATGATCATTTGTTATTAAAATTAGGGGCCGCTAAGATTACACCGTTCTCTCTAAACAGACTTTAAACGCGAACCTGTGATAAACACTGATGGCGTTCACATCCGCATTAAGAATTGATTCTATAGTTATGTGTGTTTGAATATATGTGCGCAGGTTTGTAATTCCCTACAAACCATGCCTAAACAAACTACTTGCCTTGCCTATCAATTTTGATACAGAATTTTGTTTTATTTTATCACTTCTGGGTTGGTACGTGAACCCTAATTTCCACAACGCTTTATCTGTATAGTGAAATAGGGATCCTCCATAGGGAGAGGCTATTTGGCACTTCAGCACTGCGTTGTCATCGGGTCCAGACAAAGATCCTTCGTCAGATCTGGAAACGGCCTGGATCCGGCAGGCTGCGGGAAAACCTTGGGATAAACAAAGACACTAAAATTAGCATAGATGCCATTCTTCTTATGATGTAACGAGTACATCAGGATTTAAGGGAAGTGTTCCCAGTTCCGGCTGACCTAAACTATGCAGCCTAACATTGAATTATAGAAGTCGATAATGTATTATGTGAATGCTGCTAGGTCAAAGAGATGTGTTTTTAGTCTAGCTTTGAACTGACAGAGTGTGTCTGCTTCCCGGACAATGGTAGGAAGACTGTTCCAAAGTTTTGGTGCTAACTAAGAAAAGGATCTACCGCCAGCAGTCGATTTTGATATTCTAGGTATTAACTGTTATTAATTATCAACTGGCCGGAACTTTGAGATCGCAATAGACGTGAAGGACTATAATGCGTTAAGAGCTCACTCAAGTACTGCGGAGCTAAACCATTTAGTGCTTTGTAAGTAATCAGCAATATTTTGACATTTATACGATGTTTAATAGGCAGCCAATGCAGTGTTGATAGAACCGGGCTAATATGGTCATACTTCCTGGTTCTGGTAAGAACTCGAGCTGCAGCGTTTTGAACTAGCTGTAGTTTGTTTATTAAGTGTGCAGGGCAACCACCCAGTAGAGCATTACAATAATCTAGCCTTGAGGTCATGAACGCATGAACTAATTGTTCCGCATTTGTCAATAAGAGCATATGGCGTAATTTAGATATATTTTTAAGATGGAAAAATGCAGTTTTACGGATACTAGACACGTGACTTTCAAATGAAAGATTGGTATCAAAGAGCACACCCAGGTTCCTAACCGACGACGAAGACTTGACAGAGCAGCCATCAAGTGTTAGACAGTATTCTAGATTATTACGTGAGGACGTTTTTTGTCCAATAATTAGAATCTCTGTTTTTTTTAGAATTTAGTAGTAGGAAATTACTAGTCATCCAATTTTTTATATCAGCTATGCATTTCGTTATTTTTGTGAATTGGTAAGTTTCGTTAGGTTTTGAAGAAATATACAGCTGAGTATCAATCAATCAATCAATCAATCAATATACAGCATATACAGAGTGAACAGCAGCGGTCCTAGTACTGAGCCTTGTGGTACGCCATACTGAACTTGTGATCGATAAGACATCTCTTCATTTACTGCAACAAACTGATAACGGTCAGATAAGTATGATTTAAACCATGCTAATGCAATTCCACTAATGCCAACATAGTTTTCTAGTCTATTTAAAGGATCATGAAACCCCCCTCTTTCAGCTCAAGTCTAGCTCACAATCTTTTTAAAAAATGCAACTTAAATGGGCGTGGATGGCTGTAAGAAGAAGGGAGGGGGGTGGGTGTGGTATGGAATGGCAGTGGAGAGGGGAGGACGGGATAACTGTCATTGGCCAGTGGCCCATACATATCAACTGTCACTAAAAATCAGTGGTAAAACGTGAGGAAATGCTAGATTTTTCATAGCTGGCAAAGTTAAAGTCTAATGAAATACACTGACATCCTATTTTTGTCCTTTCAAAAGTAACTGAATGCCCTGCTACATAGGCCTATATTAGCCTACAGTAATCGTAATTCTATTTAAAACATATTAATTTACAGTACATGTACAATTATAATGTCATTATAAAATATATATTTGTTAATATACACACTATAAATGCATATATTTGAAAATAATTCATTTTAAATGATTATAAAGATATACTGCCTGGGTGAATAGTATTCGCTGAGTTTTGTTTAAGTTTAGAGACGTGCTCCCGAAAAAAGTTCACGGAGACGGAGAGGCAGAAAGCACATCCTGTTTATTTTCTTTATTTTATAAAAGCACACTGTTTTGTTTCGATTGTAAGTGGACACATAAAAAAGTAGACATTTAACAGTTTATTATTTCATATTTCTTAAGTCTGTATGACCATAAATAACAGAGTATTTTAAGTCTATTTTGCTCCTACGTTTGTCGACCCCAGAGGTTTAACAAAACTAAGGCAAGTAAAACGGTCAGGGTTACATTTTAGACACACACACACCTCAGAAGGGATGGAAAAGTCCTCGGGACTTGCTTGGTACCGCATCACTCGCAAGGCGCAACTTGGATTGGTGAACAAGGCCAAAGTCCACCATTCTCCAGTTCTCGAAGCTCTCTCGCTACAAAAATGCTTTCTACACACACATAGTTTAGATGTGTCCATGGTTGATGGCCAACCAACCACCCGCAGCCAGAGTCTACACCTGGCAGCATCGCGGGGAAAGATATGCAACGCACTGGAACTTTTGCTCATCTACTGCGCGATATCACAGTTTGACATGTCTGCCATTGGAAAGATCCACGTGGTGTCATGAATAATTATGAGACACCGATGATGAGTCATCAAAGCACTCACAGTGCACTGCCACGTCACAGCCTGTGACGTGGACACAATGAAGATTTTAAGCCCGGAAGACAAAAAAAATCCATTTTCCCCCTACTATTAAATCTAACAGATGCTAACATTGTCTTCAATGGTGTTCAACACGCATACCTCTGTTAAAATCTCAGAAAATTGGGTTTAGGGTTTCTTGTCCCTTTAAAAGAATGTTGTGGTCAATAGTATCAAATGCAGCACTAAGATCAAGGAACACTAATAGCGAGATACAACCACGATCAGATGAAAAGAGCAAATCATTTGTGACTCTAATGAGAGCTGTCTCGGTACTATGGTACGGTCTAAATCCGGACTGAAAATCCTCGCAGATATAATTTCTTTCAAGAAAGGAACACAGTTGTGAGGATACTGCCTTTTCTAATATCTTTGACAGAAAAGGCAGATTCAAAATCGGCCTGTAATTGACTAATTTTGTATGATCAAGTTGCTGTTTTTTACAAGCGGTTTAATCATAGCCAGCTTAAAGGTTTTTGGTACGTATCCTAGAGACAAAGATGAATTAATGATATTAAGAAGAGGATCTATGACCTCTGGAAGCATCTCTTTCAGTAGCTTAGTTGGTATAGGATCTAACATACATGTTGTCGATTTAGATGATTTAACGAGTTTGCAAAATTCTTCCTCTCCTATAGCAACAAATGAATCAACAGGTTGCATAGTTATAATTTTGTCCCTGATATTATTGATCTTATAAGTGAAGAAGTTCATAAAGTCATTACTGCTGTTTTGCTTAGAAACTTCTGGGCTAGAAGCTTTATTTTTCGCTAGTTTAGCCACTTGTTCAAATAAATACCTAGGATTATGTTTATTTTCTTCTAGTAGGGTTGAAAAAATAAGCAGATCTAGCAACTTTAAAGCCTCTCTATATGCAATCGAGCTCTCCTTCCATGAAATCCGAAATACCTCTAGTTTTGTTTTCTTCCAGTTGCGCTCCATTTTTCTGGCTGCTCTCTTAAGGGCCTGAGTGTACTCATTGTACCATGGCGTTGGACTATTTTCTTTAATCTTCTTTAAGCGCAACGGAGCAACTGTGTCTAAATTGCTGGAAAAGAGAAAGTTTCTGTTGCAATATCGAGTTCTTCTAAGCTATCCGGGATGCTGAGATGATGAAACTGATCAGGAAGATTATTAATAAAGCAATCTTTAGTGGCAGAAGTGATAGGTCTAACAAATTTATAACACGGAGTGGGCTTGGCAGCCTTGGCTAAATGTAATTTATATGAGACTAGATAATGATCTGAGATGTCATTGCTCTGCTGCAGAATTTCAACGGTATCAACATCTATTCCATATGATCATCTATTCCATATAGATCTAGAGTATGATTACGACAATGAGTAGGTCCTGACATGTGTTGTCTAACTCCAGTTGAGTTTACAATGTCTTTAAATGCCAATCCCAATGCATCTTTTTCATTATCTACATGTATATTAAAGTCACCAACAATTAGTACTTTATCTGCAGCCAATACTAGTTCTGATAGAAAGTCAGCAAATTCTTTGATAAAGTCTGTATGGTGCCCTGGTGACCTGTATACAGTAGCCAGCAGAATTCTCAAACGTGATTTATCGTTTATACTATATATTTTTACATTAAGCACCAACACTTCAAAAGAAGTATATTTAAAACTAGATTTCTTAGTGGTTTTGAAAATATTACTATTAATTACAGCAACACCTCCCCCTTTGCCTTTCGGACGAGGCTCATGTTTATAACTGTAATCTTGTGGGGTTGACTCATTTAAAGTAATGTAATCGTTTGGTTTTAGCCAGGTTTCTGTCAAACACAGCACATCTAGGTTATAATCTGAAATCATATGATTAACTATGAGCGCTTTTGAAGTAAGGGATCGAATATTCAGCAACCCAAGCTTTATCGTTTGCTCATCTGTATTATATCTGTTTTTTATTTGTTGAACATCAATTACATTTTTAACCTTTGATGGGTTTGGACGATTTTTGGATTTCCAAATTCGGGGAACAGACACAGTCTCTCTATATGATGATATTTAGGTGAAAGAGGCTCTATGTGATGGGATTTATCTGACCTTGGTGAATGTAAAAACAGTAGGTTTCGATGTCATGTTGTCATGACCAATTCTACAACTGACTAATAGTTTACACCACTGAGGGTGATTTAAGGGTCAGATCAGGTAGCAGTAGCACTTTTTACTGTTTGAATGCCCCCATAAACTTCACTTACATCATTAAGACTGTGTGTATGCATGTGTGTGTTTATGTATTTTGCCTCACTCAATTCTACTGCAGGTAGTGTGTTCTGGTGTCTGCTGGATATTGTGCCTATCAAGAATGAGAAAGGAGATGTTGTCCTCTTCCTCGCCTCTTTTAAAGACGTCACTGACACCAAAGCCAAATCTATACTTGAGGAGAAGAAAGGTTAGTACATGATGATGGTGTATGTGTGTTTGCATGGATTTTTATTAAATAATTTTAACTTTTTCTACCATCATTTATTATTTGCTTATTTATTTATTTATTTTATTTTTTTAGAGTTTAAATGCCTTTATATACATGTTAATTGATTTACACATGTCCCAGAACCAGACTTTGAATCTTAAAATATAAAAATGTGTCATAAAAATATTATTATTGTTACTATTAAATATTAATTATTATTCATACATTTTTTTAGGAAAACCTCAACAAAGAGAAAAATAAACAAATAATTGTATTATTTATTTTGGAAAGAAATATAGAAATTTTGCACAAATTATGACCCTGACGTTGTGTCAATTTCACAATCACAATCAACAATGTTTCACTAAAGGTTTTGTCAAAATTTAGTGTACTTGGCTATCATGGAGACATCAGTGTACCAGTATAAAAAAGATGTATATGATGTGTGCAGAAAACAAAAATGAAGGTACATATTTGTCAATATTTTTTGCAAAAACATTGTGTCCATTTCCATTACAGAATGCTGTTAAATACAACCCACAATTTGAGTTGTGGTGAAAATGACTTTCAGAAATGACAGATTTTTTTCTGTGTGTGTGTGTGTGTGTGTGTGTGTGTGTGTGTGTGTGTACTGTATATGTTTGAACATTGCTACTAGACAAATGTTTTAAGGATGTCCACAGGGTGAAACATGTCTATAGTGTGAGAAAAAACCTCACATGATCCTTTTTTGTGCTTGTCTTGTTAAGGTGAGGCATGATGAAAAATATCTGTTTATTGTGTGATTGAGAAGATTTTGGCCTCAAGCAGCAAAGGAAACCATGTGGAGCAGGGAATTCCAGTGCAACTGTGTCTGTCCTCCTCTTTTTTTTTCTTTTCACATTTTCGCCCTTTGTTCCTTTCCCTCTCTGTGTTTCTCGTGACCTGTTCTGCCAGTAAATTGGGAGTTCATTTATTAGGATCTATAATAAGTGTTATGCCGCTGGACTCCCTGCTGACTACAGCCTTTTATGGATTAGTTTCTGTCGCCCCTTCTCTGGCCCTGCAGGCTGAAGTGATCTCTATCCCTCTCTAATAACCAGCTTCCCAGCTTTCTCTCTCTCTCTCTCTCTCTCTCTCTCTCTCTCTCTCTCTTTCTCAACCCATGTTTCTCTCTCTCTGTCTGTCTATCGCTCCATCCCTTCAGTCCTTCTCCTACTCCTGCTTTGCTTTCCCTTGGTACCTTGTTCGGCAGGGTTGCAATGAGTGACATTTTTCCCCTGTTGCCCTCGGCAATTGAGACTGGCAGCCTGGCTGTCTGCTTGTTTCCTCAGCTGGCTGATTTAAAAATGCTACACGCTACACATTCGTACACACATGCACAAATACATTCATGGTCAGTATCCAGAGACTCCACACATTTCATATGCTTTTGTCTCTGTCTCTACCGCTGTAACCATTGCACTACAATACTCCTGTTGGCACTTTTTGCTTGTTTCATTTTTATTTTTGCACAGTCGAAGCACGTATTAAAAAAAAAAAATTCAGCCACTTGGCAGCCTAGTTTTTGGTTTTCAAATTAAGGGTCGAGTTGAATTTTATTTTATTTATAAAACATTTTTTAACAGCAACTAGGAGGTTTGTATGGAAGCTTGTTTCCAGCACAGAATAAAAAAATTGTAAAAAAAAAAAATTCAATCTCCTAACCACAATCTCTACCGCCACAATCTCACCGCAATCCGACCATACGCGCCAACCCGTTTGACTAAGGCTGTCGAAGCCCCACTGTCGTCGTTAAAGCAGGTTCAGTGGCAGTGGTTCCATATGACATACTACCTACTGCAACACACAACCAACCATACGCGCCAAACCGTTTGACTAAGGCTGTCGAAGCCCCACTGTCGTCGTTAATGCAGGTTCATTTGCAACGGTTCCTTATGGCATTCTACCTACGGCAAAACACAACAATATCTGTCCAACACAAATCCTCATTCACGCAAAATACAGTACATGGGATTGTAATAACTATGCAAACTATACAAATAATCCAACAGACTCTTCAAGTTTTTGAAGAATTTTTCGAAACCGTAGTGTGGTAGTGCCACAAATCCTCGACAACCCACTTCCACTGGATAAACCCGGACTCTCCATCCTTGCTGTTCTGCTTCAGTGGCTAGATGAGCATACCGCAGTTTCTTCCTCTCATACGCCTCATCTACAGCATCCTCCCATGGCACTGTTAACTCTATCAGGTGAACAAGGCGTGCTGATCCAGACCACAAGACAATATCTGGTCGAAGGTTAGTGGTGGCAATCTCAGGTGGAAAAATAAGCCATTGATCAACATCTGGCAGCATTTTCCAGTCCCTAGCAGCTTCCAGTTGTCCTGGACGAGAATTATTTTTAACACCTTTTCTTGGTGGTTGCTCTCCTGGGCGGAGGAATATTGTCTTCTGCGTGTAATGTTTTGCTAGAACAGGTGGCAACTTATTGGTCATGTTGCGCTTGTCTTCCAATGCTAAAGCCAAACATCGCAGTACCTGGTCATGGCGCCAAGTAAACCGTCCTACATCCTGTCAAAATGTGCCTTAATGTGTCAGGTGATTAACACAAAGGACATGAGGGATCCTCTCCTACCCAGAGGTTTAGGTTCTGTGGTGATAGGAGAACATCATATGTTGACCTGATAAGGAAACTGATCCTATTCTGTTCCATTGACAATAGGTCTTGCCAGCCCATCTTGCGTTCCACACTCTCCCATCTCATCCACTCTCCCTGCTTGGCCTGGGAAATGGCCTTTATATACCTCATCCTCTCCTCCTGCTTTCACACCTCGTTGACTACCAGCTTCCTCCTTTGAGCTGGGGCTGCCTTGTGCCATTTAGGAGGAGCTAAACTGAGCCCAAAACCTCCTCTTCCATGCTGTACTTGCCCCACGATATCACCAATTTGAAGGGCAGCCTTTGCATCTTCCACAGCTTTCTTTGCTAACCACTTTCTTCCCGTTTTTAACACAGGTGCTGCCTCCCTTACACATTTGTCGCGTGACTCTACTAATTTCATTTCCAGTCTGACCTCCAGTCTGGCGCACTTAAACTCCTCTGCAATATTATGTCCCACTCTGCTGAGGCAGCGTGGAACTCCCAACCATTTCTTGATGTATGAACTCTTTAAAGCTTCCAGCTTCTCTACTGTTGTCAAAGAAACCTCGTACACAGTCAGTGGCCACATCAACCTCGGCAGTAGACCAATAAAACATTTTTGACCAATAAAACAACACAGAATAAAACATTTTAAAAGATAATTGCGACTTCGTATCTCACAATTGCGAGTTTACATTTCGCAATTCTGTTTATATTTATTACTGTTATATAAAGTCAGAATTGCGTGATATAAAGTCGCAATTGCGTGTTATAAAGTCAGAATTCTGACATCTTTTCTCAGAATTGTGAGATATAAACTCGCTATTGCGAGTTATAAAGTCCAATTCTAAGGGAAAAAAGACTGACTTTTTCCTCAGTTTTGCAAGTTTATATCTCACAATTCTGACTTTATAACTCGCAATTGCGATTCTAAAAACGCTTATAAAAAAATCTAAAAATGCACTTGTGAGAAAAAAAGTCAGAATTGTGAGATAAAAAGTTCGCAATTACATGTTTTATTTTTATTCTGTGGCGGAAACAAGCTTCCATAGGTTTGGCTTTACAAAACAATCTAGACAGAAAGTGTTTCAGTTGAAAATACATTACCACAGGATAGGAAACTGCATTTGTCAGACCATTTCAGGTAAACTTTCAGCTGTCCCCTTGACAGACTGTTTTAGTTCAAGACCTCAGACTAAATTAAATGAACCTACTGCAGTATTTAGCAGTCACTCGATCAATTGAAACAGATGTTTTCAATATGGGAATGAAAACATTCTGATAGCAGATCCCCAACTAGTGGAAACCATTGGTGTAAAGCAGGTCACCAGCATAAAGGAAGTTATTCTTGTTCCACACCAGCTTTTGTGTAACAGCAGCATAGAGGGCAATAGAAGGAAAACGGGCCACTTTGAGTAAACCTGCACTCAATGAAAGCAGCAAGCACTATTTGCATGGAAGTATTGATAGAAAATCTCTGGTTTTCTTCACAAAGCTACAAAAAACATTCACAGAATGATAAGCTACATTTTCTTTCGCCAATTTTTGCTGGTATATAACATTTTTTATGCAAGAATTCAAGTTGTTACGGGATGATGGTTTAGATTTTTCTTTGTTACTTGACCATATTAGAGGAACATTGCCCCATTTTTCAGAGTTTTACTTTACTTTACTAAGTATTGTTGTAATACAAGCTCAAGTCAATGTAATGCTACAAAGGTTGAGTTGTTGACTTTTTATCATTTATTTATTTTATTAATTATTTTTATTTTCAAAAGTAAAAAGAAATGGAAAAAAAAAACATTATAACAACCTCAGTACCACAGGAATTTTTCTAGAATGATGCATTGTGTTCTTTGTTTTTATGTATTAATGGAATTTATTTTGTGCAGTATGTTTTTATTTCTTGATGGATTGTATCCCCATTGCCCTTGACTTTCATAACAACAGTCCAACCTTTTCTCAGAGTGTCGCCGCGAGCAGGTCAAGGGAGGTTCTCCGTTTGGCTCCACTCGGCTGCGATCTAGCACAGTTCTGTACCACATTTCAGGACACCTGCACAACCGTCAGAAACAGAGTAAAATCAAACTTAACAAGGTGAGACCATTCAAATACTGATGATGTAGAAAAATACAAGAACGAAAAGATAAAACAGAACCAGTTTCTCTACCATAATTGTTCTCTCTTTTTCTAGAATGTGTTTGGTGATCCACCAGCTCTCCCTGAATATAAGGTCGCTGATGCCAAGAAGTCCAAGTTCATTCTTCTCCACTTCAGCACCTTCAAAGCTGGCTGGGATTGGCTAATACTACTGGCTACATTCTATGTCGCCGTGACGGTGCCGTACAACGTTTGTTTTATTGGTGATCAAGACTTGACACGTAGCACCACCGTCACTGACATTGCCGTCGAGATTCTCTTCATCATTGGTAAGAGAATCCAATTTTGATTTTTGACATAATATATTTAGTCCATTACATGTTATGTTTTTCATTGCTAGCATGATTATGATTTATGAGATTATCTTTGCTCAATCACATCTATATCTTTACACATGATTATAATTGCGTCTTTAAATCAGACTCTTTGACATCTTCCATTAACCCTCTGAGGTACAGCATTGCTACAGGGCAGCATATCATTCAGTATCCTGCTATTCAGAAAGAAATTAATTGGAATTAAAAGGACTGTTTTTACAGAAACAAAAAATTTGCTTTTTTAAAGACATCTGCCATTTGAGTTTCTCTCCATGATTGATGGAGAGGGAACATGCATGTTTCCTCAAATTACGCTATTTTTAAACAACATATATGTAAAGGATGTTGGTTCCATATGGTTTAAAAGTTAAACACATGCATTATTTTATTGATTTGAGTTTAAAACAATAATATTATAGGCCTACATGCATTTTTTTTGTCTTGTCCTATTAACAGTTTCTTCCTGAAATTTATTTTGGCTTTGTGACTCTGATAAGGCCACTATTTAAAACGCTTTGTGTTCAGATTTGTTGACAGCACATGAATTTTTCATTTTTCTGTTGTCTGTCTGTGCTAACTCTCCACTTGATTTATAGCTGTCAGAAAAGCATTTTTGCTGTTATAAATGCTTCAATTGACACACTGTCGTTCATTGATATTATGCTGATGGTGTATTTTTTGAAGACGCTGACTCTGTCTGTCGCTTTAGACATCGTGTTCAGTTTCCGCACCACGTACGTGAGTAAGTCGGGGCAGGTGATCTTCGATGCGCGGCAGATCTGCATCCATTACATGACCACCTGGTTTATCATCGACCTGGTTGCTGCTCTGCCCTTTGATCTCCTTTACGCTTTCAAAGTCAGCGTGGTGAGTAATGCATATATTACAAAAATGATAATGAATCTATCGAGGGAAAAATCTGTGGGAAAGTTTTTGCACAGTTTTCAAATGCATTTTGAATTTACAACTTTTACATGATTTTGAGGAAAAAAAGCAGGCACACAGAGAATATGTGTCAGCATAAAACTCTGCAGGATTGTCACTTGCGTGCTTTTTTAAAAATTATTATTAAAGGGGTGGTGTAATCCCCTTTTCACAAGATGTAAAATAAGTCTTTGATATCCCCAGAGTGTGCATGTGAAGTTTTAGCCCAAAATACCCCACAGAAATTTTTATATAGCATGTTAAAATTGTTACATTTTGAGGGTGAGCAAAAACGCACCGTTTTAGTGTGTGTCGCTTTAAATGCAAATGAGCTGCTGCTCCCGGCACAGAGGGTGGAGCTACAACAGCTCGTGTGTTAGCAGCTTAGATTACTTCACACAGACATGCACTGAAAATTTCTAAAACTTTTAGCCTTTTATGTTCAAACTGGAGTCGGACAATGATGGAGAGACTCAAGAAGAAGTGACAACATGTAGACAAGATTTCTGAATGGTTAGTTGATGAATTTATGTAGCTTATGTGTAGTTATCTTCTAGTCATTGATTAGCATATTCTGTCATGATAATATATAAATCACGTAACCGGGGGCGGGGTTTATGTCAATTTTAGGGTTTGTGATGTCACTAACCCGGGAGGAAGCTTGTGTAGTCCCTACCAGCCGTTTGTTATAGTCCTTAAAAAGCAATTTCTTTAAAAGAACTTTGAGCGTCGTAACTTTGCAGATGTTGTTTATGCTCAAACAGCAACATTACACACTAACAAGTTAGAAAAGTGAAATCATAATCAACCACCCCTTTAAATATTATGGCTAATTCGATAATGCTTTGACCCAGCTAGCACTACGTTGAGGGCATTTTTATATAAAGAAAACATTTTGATGTATTAAACTTATTTCCATAAATAAGCGCAATATATACCAGCATTCTAGAGTTGTCACGGTGGTGGTTGCAGCAAGAGAGTAGTTTAGGCAGGATCTAATTGCAGCAGACACTTTTATTAACTCTTCAAACAAAACAACAAACATGCAGGAGAACAGGAGAACGCAGGGGATCATAAAATAACTGTACACTGAAGCAACACTAGAGATAAGAACAGACAAAGAACATTTCCAAGAGATAAGAACAGACAAAGAACATTTCCAAATGAGGGCTATATATACAGAGTAACTAAGAAAGAAACAAAAAGCACAGGTGAGGACTAATCGATTAACTAGCGAGAAAGGCACACAGAAAACAAGAAAATGCAAACATAAACCTTACAAGAGTAGGGGTGCACCGGATCGCAGTTGACCAGGCCCCACGGTTCAGCACGCATGTGATTCGCATTTCTTTGCACTTGAACAGACACACACATCAAAATACCCGTCTCTGCAAGTATTCTCTCGGTTATGTCTTAAGTGAATGTAAACAGTAGAGAAAGAAACTGGATGTCTTTCAGTATATTCGGTCCGTGTATTTGATCTTAAAGTGACAGCTGCCTAATTTTCCTGCTACTGTCTGTGCCATTAATGTGAATAAAACAACAAAATACAGCTTTAACAAAGATTAATCTATATTTAATTTCTACAGTGAACACAATAGTGTTATTTTACATTTAGGCCTAATTATTACATTTCTGCACCTGAATACTACTGTTAGACTTTGTAACTTTGTTATATAGTATTCATCTATGCTTGTAATTTTGTATTTGTTCTTATTTTATTACTGACTGTTTACTTGTCTTTAATAATGTTTGAACTTTATTAGTTAGGCTAGTAGTTTTTGCTGTGGTATCGAAGTACTTAAAATTAGCTTTAAGTAATAGCAGTTACAGTTTTGCTCTTCCTTAAGTGTAAAACAAAATATTGAACAGCGGCACTCTGGGTGACCCTGAGTGGGTGGACCATGAAGTCCTTTTGATGACAACATGGATGTAGATCTTTTTAATGAGTGATCATGGGTTCAGGTACAAATAAAGATATATTAATAATAATAATAATAATAATACGTTTTATTTATATAGCGCCTTTCCAGGGCTCAAGGATGCTTTACAATAAACAAGCAACAATAAAGGCAATGGACAAAGACAGCAGACAAAACAACAGTAGGTAGATGATAGTGTAAGTACTGAAAATGAGAAATTTGGAAGATGGGTCGGCACCCAGCAGAATACATTCAGATATAAAAAATGCAGTACAACTTAAGAATTATGACATTCAGAAAATAAGTGAGTTTTGAGCATGGATTTGAATTCCGAAATAGTATTAACAGAACAGAGTGATCGGGGGAGAGAGTTCCACATTTTGGGTGCAACAACACTGAATGATCTGCCCCCCATTGAAGCAAGGCGATGCCGAGGGACGACGAGAAGGCTAGAGACAGAGGATCGTAAAGTGTGAGTCGGGGTGTAGGGGTGGAGCAGGTTACAGAAGGGGGAGCCAAGCCGTGCAGAGATTTAAAAGTGAGAAGGAGAATTTTGAATTTAATACGGTAAGCCACAGGAAGCCAGTGAAGATCATGCAAAATTGGGGTGATCACTGATATGTGCAGAACGCTTGGTATGGGTGAGTATTCTGGCAGCAGAGTTTTGAAGGTATTGCAATTTGGAAATGGAGCTAGCGGATAGGCCAATAAAAAGTGCATTGCAGTAATCAAGACGTGATGTGACAAATGCATGGATGACAGTTGACAGAAAGAATGCTGATTTAGTGATAGAATTAATGTGAGAGTGGAAAGATAGAGAGGAGTCAAAGATTACACCAAGATTTTTAACGGTACTAGATGGTTTGATATGAGAGCCAGCGAACTCACAGGTGAAGTTAGTAGGAATTTTGTTAGTGAGTGATGGAGGTATTACAGGCTCTGAAATTGGTTAACACTGCCTCTGATGACTCCAATACAAAATCAAGGGTCACAGGCTCCTGGTTTTAATTCACAGAAAAAGACAGTCAGCTTTTCTGGCCAATCCAGACTGGCAGAATCGATCAGTGGCACTTGGACACACACACACTTACAGTGATGACACATGCAGTAATGAAACCCTGCATCCCTCTGTATGGCGAAACACAACGAAAGAGTGCTTGAAATCCACTGAGGCTTATTAAGAGGAGAGTGAAATGCAGTGGACTCTACTTAAGTGCCACTGTAATATAGACCTTCTTGTCTCCGAGATGTTCCCTTAAATCTGCTCCAATTACAGATTGCACCTCTTCTCCACTGGTATCCCTTCACATCTGCCCTTCAGCTGCACTACACACACACACACACACACACACACACACACAGATGCAACAAACATGCACACAGACACACATCAGAAGTGAAGAATGATATTTCTTTTTTTCCACTGACCTCTGTTTTCCTCTCTGATTTCGATTTCCTTTTCCTATTTGATTTCATTTTATTTTGGTGTCTCTTTCCCTGTCTTGGCCAATCTCCATTCGTTTCCTCTACTTTTCCTCGTTTCTTTTCATTTCCTTTTCCTATCCTGGCCAATTTCCACTCCACTCCTATCCTCTTCTTTTCTTTTCCTATATCCTGGCCAATTTCTATGCTTTTCCTTTCTACTGCTTTCCTTTTCATTTTCCTATCCTGGCCAATTCCCATTCTGTTCCTTGTCCTTTTCCTTTCATCTCATTTGTTCTTCATTCCTTTTCTATCCTGGCCATTTTCCATTCTATTCCTTTTCCTCTCCATGCCTCCTTTTTCCTTTTTCTTTTCCTGGCCCATTTCCATTCCCTTTCCTTCACTCTTTCCTTTTCCTTTTCGTTTACTCTTCTTTCCTATTCTTTTACATTTTTATTTTTATTCTTTTCCTCTGATTTCCTCTTTCCTTCTTTTCCTAGTCAATTTCCATTTATTTCCTTTTCCTTTCCTCTTCTTTCCTATTCATTTTCATTTATTTTTCTTTTCTTTTTCCTTTACCATTTCTTTTTCTTTTTCTAGTCAATTTCATTTTATTTCCGTTATCTTTTCTCTCTTTTCCTCCTCTTTCCTTTTCCTGTTCTTTTCCTTTTTTGTTTTTGTTTTCCTACCCTTTCCATTCCTTTCTTTTTGCTCTCTATCACTCCCATTTCTATCCCAATTACTTCCCTTCCCTCTTAACCCACCTACACATTGTTAGCAGTATGAGTGATTTAGTTATTAATTCACATAGATGCATTACCACATAAAGCTCAGTATATGAACCCCTACCGTGGCCTTGCCTCCATTTTCACCCTCCTTATCTAATTTTTAACCAACTGTTAAGTTCAGCCTTTTTGTTTCTCTAATGACATAAATGTTCATTGGTTTTGCTTCTGAGACCATGATCTCTTGATGTTTATTAATATTTGATTGTCAAGTGAAAGATTGTGGCCATTACAACGTGGATTATTATTTAATGCTGCAGGGATGTGAAAGGGTTGTTTCTCATAGGGATTGTCTGATTTTAATAAGAGAGGCTGTGATGAATATTGCTGGCTAGTTACTGCCTGAAGCTCTGGACAAACTGATCTAATAGCAGTGTGTACGCGTCTGTTACTGATCCGGTAGTGTGCATGTGTGAAAGTTTGTGATCAGGTTAATACAGAGTGTTATTTTTATGTAGTCACACTGAATATATATAGTTATAGAGTATATTTGAGCTATTTAAAACTATCTCACTTGCTCATTCACTTTAAACCTCCTTTAATACATAAAACATTACACATAGAATAAATGTATCAAAGCCATTACAGGGCTCCAGACTAACTTTTTTTACTAGGAGTGCTGTAGCCCCTGACTGAAAATTGTAGGAGCGCAAGCAGAACATTTAGGGGCACACCTTAAATCAGCTTGCAATGCAATTATTCAAATTTCCCCCAAAATAACTGTAATACTGACAAATTCTTTAATAATTAATAGACTTAACGTACAGATATTACAATGTGCAGTTTTATTTTAAGTTCACAGGGCTCCAGACTAAAATTTGAGGGTAGCATCACCGGAGCCACTGAGTTCTACAAAAAGATCTGGTACCACTGGGGCTGACAATACAGCACTAAGCTTAATTTAGGGTGTAGATGAAATTAACTTTTATTATTATCATTCATAATGTCTTAATATTAATTAAAAAGCAAAACGAGTGGAAAAATGTATATTAGGGAGTGAAAATAGCCAATAAGCATCCTATTGTTTACAATGGTAATTTATTAATTAATTTATTTTTAAATAAGTGTTTAAATAAGAGTTTTCCTACATCTTAAATGTTTTAGTTTTAGGACAATCTTTGAAGGATGAACAAAAAATGTGTTGGTCATCACATTAAAAATAACATTTATATATAGTTTTGAAGTGCTGGAAAAAGACGTGTAGTACTTGTAAGCGTTTGACTATTTCTGTCACAAAACCATAGTTATGGTTAGAGTTACTACATTAGCCTAAATCCATCAAATCCATGGTGAATGTTGCTGATTTGTGGACTGAAAGCCTAAGTGTTTCTCCTGGTTTATAACAGAGAACTCTGCGCCGAATCGGAATGTTTCTCACTAGACCTCGCGGCGATGATGTTATTAATTTTGAGGCGAATTCAATGGATTTCTTCACTAGATCTCCAGAGTCTGGATCTCCTAGTAACAGTGTCGCAAGCATAAATGAGTAGCGCATTTTCGTTCCGCTTTCATTTTGTTTGCATTCGCTGCTCGGCAACATTGTGGTCGCGCCAGCACGACCTAAATAAATATTTGGTCGCACCGGCAGGAAAAATGGTCGCAGTCTGGAGCCCTGCATTCTGCTGAATATATAGAATAACATGTCTGCAGGGTCTAACAGTAATTTTTAGCATAAATATTTCGGTAATACTTTATTTTTACCGTGTAAATTGTAAAATTAATGAGAAATACTGATGAAGTACATGTACATTAAAGTGCTTCTTAAATTGCATGTTACTTGTACTTACATGTCATAGTTATTATTGTTGTAGTCATTAATAAGTAAGTTAATCTGTGTAACAGGGACACAGAAAAATAAAACTTGTGATTTTTACTGACCATGAAGCTTTACAAAAATGTTTTATCCGTCCAAATGGAAATGGGATGTTTTTTCTTGCATATTTGTGACATACTGTACAGTTGATCATATTTTATATAGATATATTTGTATATTTTACATAATCTTTATGCAAGATCTTTATCACAAAAATGTGAAGATGTTGTGATTTTTCATTTTAGTGTCACTGCATTGAGTTCTAAGAGATAAACTCTTAGATAACCATCTGATGGTAAATTTTGCACTGATGTAATTGTAAACACTATAAAAGCGTTGCAAGTTTTGATATATGTTTCCTTTAGTAGACAGTTTGTGTGCATTTGATTTGCTCGCATCACTTACATCATCTGCGGTCAGACTGTTGTTCTTAGAATTTGAAACTATCAGAGGATTCCTGATGAATGTAGCTGGTGTTCGTGTTCTTAAAGTACAGTACCTAGAGATTGGCATGGGGTACTTTCCAAAAGATCATCTCTCAATGCAAATCAAACCAGCTATTAGGCTAACTGAAATAAAACCATGCCAATCTCTAGGTATGGTGAAGGGTATGTGATGATGTGGGGCTATTTTAATTCCAAAGGCAAAGGGAACGTTATCAGGATGCATAGTATCCTGGATCCATGAAATAACTGGCCTTTAAAAATAAGAATCTGCCTGCCCCTATGGGAATTTAACATAGGGCTGTCCTGCCTTATGCACCCTGTATTTTATGGAAGAACGTATTTATTTACGATACATTATTCATTCACAAAGAAAATTGGTGTTCTTAAAGGTTGGATTTTCCTCATTTTTTTAATTAAGGCATAAAGATCAATTTCCAAAAGATGATTTTTTTATTCCTCTTTTCAGTCAACTTCAGCATGGGTGTGTTCACTTATGCTAAGCACTGTAGATGACATAAAATGAAATAGCATAGCCTACTGTACCAGTCAAAAGTTTGTGGTCAACATTTAAAAAGAAAATATTATTTAGAAATTAACTTACTACTTGAAGAATCCTGAAAATGTATCACAGTTTCCAGTCCACAAAAATATTAAGTAGCACAAGAGTTTTCACCATTGATAATAATAAGAAATATTTCTGAATTCTGAAGGATCAAGTGACACTGAAGACTGGAGTGATGGCTGCTGAAAATTCAGATTTTCCATCAGAGGATCAAATTACATTTTAAAATATATTGATATAGAAAATTTATAGTTATACTGTAATTGTATTTCATAATAATATTACTGCTTTTACTATATTTTTTATCAAATAAATGCAGCCATGGTGAGCATAAGTGACTTCTTTAAAAGCATTAAGTGGAAGGTAACTCAACTGTTTTATGTCATTTTTAACCTTAATGATACATTTGTCTGTTTTCTGACAGTATGACAGTGACGGAGAGCACAGTCAGCGCTCCAGAGAACAGAAAGATAATGATTGTCATACTGAAAAACATATACTTAGGCAGCCTGTTTTGTTCTCAATGTTTTTGTATGTTTATACTCCTCATATCCCACAACTGCAGTCTATTCCTTGTGATTTATTGTCTTGTTAGTGGGCGGTATATTTCCATTCACCTGAGAACATGCAGTTCTCTAGTTTATTAGGTTTTAACTGATTTTGGATACAGGCACCTGCCCTTCTCAGCCCTCAAATGCACTTGCATGCAGAGCAAATCCTCGACAGTTAATGTGAGTTCCCCTTTCCCCTCTGCCAGGTGTCAGTGGTTCATCTGTTAAAGACCGTGCGCCTGCTGAGACTCCTGCGCCTGCTGCAGAAGATGGACCGTTACTCCCAGCACAGTACGGTGGTGCTGACCCTGCTCATGTCCATGTTTGCACTGCTGGCCCACTGGATGGCCTGCATCTGGTACATCATCGGCAAGAAGGAGGTGGAGAGCAACGCGGACACCTGGGATATAGGTGAGACTGGCACACAAAATTTGCTCATTGACTCACAGACAGAATGAAAGTGTATATATGTGAGAGAAAACCAACCTATACTCACTGGAAAACATGCTTCTACAGTACCTACATTTTTGCAAAACACCAAAAATTACCTATACATACGATTCACAGCTGTAAAACAACTTTTATTCCTGTCCACACAAATAATGATTACAGGGGCAGATTAATAAAGACTTATTTTCCCATGGTTCCGTGCACAACACAATGATATGACCTCAAAACACTTTTACCATAGTGCATGATTTGTAATCTAGTACTTTTTGACATTTGCTTCTAGGGGTGGGCGATATGACCAAAATCTTATTTCACAGTATGAGAAATCTTTGTTTCACGATAACTAAATATATCTCGATATAGCTACTTTTATTTTATTTTTGTTATTAAAAATAAGAACAAAGAAGTCAATTACATACAGTAGGACAAATACAATAGAGCAAAGACACAAATTAAATAAACTTAAAGACCAGCTGTGGTGAAATTCAAGTTTTTAATGTTGTTTATATGTCTATGTGTTGTTTTTTAATATGCTTTAAGACAAACCATGTGCAAATTCTTGTCAACACAATTGCTAAGTATTTTCTCCTTAACTGCAGTGAAAAAAAGACAGTTTCAAATATTTTGAGAAATCGCAGGTGTTCCTTACGTCACAAACTACCTTGTAAACAATCACGTCAACGTGCGGGCGGGCTTTAGCATATCATCATTACTGAATGCTGCGAAGCATTTGCTGTCGCAATGCTGTCTCAAGAGAAGCCAGGTTATCCCGGTATATTTTTCTGTTGATATGAAAAATCAGGTACATTTAGCAATATAGCTGGTGAATTATGTATGATGTATATTACGATGTTATGAAGATGAACTATATGCCTTTCTCCACTGCCGTTCTAAGCGTTTCTAAGGATAATGATTTTTAGAAGGCAGCTGTCTGACTCTGAGATGGTGAACGGGAACTTGGTTTGTGTAACATTAGCAACACATTGTTAACTGTTTGATAAAGTAGACAAGCAAAAGGCTAATCATATTAATTACCGTTATGTGTCCGACGTTGTAGAGTGTGATACATAAAAAGCATTAGGATTCTGATACATCGACTTATAGACGAGCCTGTATAATTCACTCTTCCACTTCGTCTGAATCAGTTTCTGGTTCAAACATATATGGCTGAATTAAACCAGTATTTCCACTTGCAATTGTGCAGCGTTTACTACAGTAAAGTTGACCAAGTGGATCTCTGAGCTGGTGTGAGTGGAGGTGGGGCTATTTTGGATATTCATGGATTCGCGTATACTAAATGAAGTAAGGGTGTAGAGTTACATTCAAGCTATTTTAAGGCATGAACAAAAAAAATTAATAGGAAAATGTATTTAAATATAGGGATCAAAGATTAGTTTTAAAGGGGTCATATAATGGTCCATGCACTTTTACAAGTTGATTGTACTGAAATGTGTGTTGGCAGTGCCTGTACACAACCATCATAAAATGATAAAAATCCATCCAGTGTTTTTGTTTTAATCTCCTTAAATGTTTTCCCCTGTCTCAAATCAAGCCGTTCGAGCTTGTGACGTCACAAGCTCGGAAGCCCCTCCCACGATTGTTGATTGACAGCAACCGACAGCAACGTCTTAACACAGACCCGCCCTCGCTCGTGAGGGAGCTGTCAATCATAGTCCGCACGGACCGGCGCGGTCATTGTTGATATGCTGGAGCTTGTCTATAAGCAGAATGGCGTCTAAGCGATTGTGGTGTTCTGTTCTTGGGTGTAATAACGAACACAGCAGTCATTTTAATGTTCCTAAATCCGAAACGCTGAAGACGCAGTGGCTGAGTTTGTTTTCGAAGGAAATATTCCACACGAGCAACGTCAATGCTTTCATGTTTGCGCGAATCATTTCACACACCAGACTGCTTTATAAAGGAGGGTCAGTATAAAGCTTGTTTTGCTAAGAAGCTGCTCATGAAAAAAGGATCGGATTCGGTACCAGCTATTCGTGTTCCTGATGAACCTCTAGAACAACTGAAGTGAGTGTAACGTTTTATTAAACTTTATATTAATATTTATATTAATCTTTGCAAATCGCTAGCTGCACGCTTCACAATGAATGCTTCTGTTTACACTTAGGGTACATTACGGGATGTTTTCTATGTATGATGTTCTCAATATAATTCATAATCCCACGTTTATACTGAACAACGCGTTATGGTTATTGTGTTATTGTGTTACACACTGTGTACGCACAGAACAGAGAGGCGGGGTGAGCAAAGCTCATTATCATTTAAAGGCATATGCACTGAAACGGCGTGCTGAAAACAGAGCTGTTTTTGACCAAGTAAAATAAGTGTTTTCTTACAATACTAATGAGAATTTTTAATTAAAGTATATTACAAACTTTTAATTTAGACCCTAAAGAATCATATTAGCTTATACAAAAATGGCATTATATGACCCCTTTAAGGAAAAAAATTATTGACTACAGGGGGACTTTAAATAAACGTTTTTCAGCTACAGTAGGTTTATTTAACATAGTTAAATAACGTACAACCTAGATGCGCTGCGCTGTTACACTACGTGAAATCTCGAGGCCCACAGAGAAGTAAATGAATAGTTGAATGAAGTCGTTATTTTTGTTTGTTTTTTTGCGCACAAAAAGTATTCTTGTCGCGTGATAAACTTAAGATTGAGCCATTGTAGTCACTTGGACTATTTTAACGATGTCTTTAACTTTTCTGGGCTGGCAAGTTTCGATCCCTTAAGAAGCCTGAGGAGGAGTGATCCAGCTCTCAGATTTAATAAAAAATATCTTAATTTGTGTTCCGAACATGAACAAAGTCTTACGGGGTTGGAACAACATGAGGGTGAGTAATTACTGACAGAATTTTAATTTTGGGGTGAACTAAGCCTTTAACCTTTTAGCGCCACTCACCAAACATTTCTGAATTGCCGCGATATGTTCAAATGTACAAGTGTTTTTGTCAATACAATAAAAGTCAATAGGGTCCAAAACAACATTGTTCTCCACTGACTTCATTATATGGACAAAAAACACTGAAACATTTAGCAAACTTTTGCTTCAAACATAAGAAAGATTTCAAATAAGTTTTAAACGACATGAGGGTGAGTAAATGATGACAGACTTTTCATTTTGAGATAGTAGAATTTATTGAAAGGATAGCCCCTTGAGATGTAACATCTCATTTTCAAGGGGGTCCTAAAAACATAAGCAATTTACAACACAGACTACATAAAACAAAACAACATTACAAAAAAAAAAAAAAAAAAAAAAAAAAAAAAAAAAAGCTCAACCTGCTTCCCACACTCTTGTGGACTTCCCACACCCGAAACATAGTTTCAGTAGTTTCAGTACAAAATCTCATCATCATACATACATACATAGATTAACTATCCCTTTAAGTTTTTAATTATTGAACCGAAGCAATCATGCAACAGTGTGTTAATTGATTCAACGCAGTCTGGCTCTCCAGTTTCATTTCAGTTTGTAATGGATTTGTTAAAGCTGCAATATGGACATAATATGAATGGATTTAATCTGATGCGTTCGGAGCAAGACAGAGAGAGAGCGATGAAGACATCAAATGAGAATGGAAAGCAGAATTTATAGTTATAGAAGAAGCGCGATAAGCCTGACAGTGTTAGGTGGTGTTATGGACAGTGATAGTGGAGGAGGAAGATAGGAAGAATGCACCAGGGACAGCAAGCAGCCAAGTGAGTGAAAGAGTGAGTGAACGGCAAACAAACCAGTCACCCAGACGTCGTGCCGCGGGCCTCTCTCCATCTTGGCTTCAGGGGGGGCTGTAATTAGGCCCAGTGTGCTTCTCTATGGTTCGTAATGACGGATCGCTGTGAAAGTAGCAGCGTTCACCGCCCGGTCCCCTATCAGTGTTGATGGAAAGTTGCTGGTTCCCCTCGGCATCCGACCACTGACCCCCCGGCCTGCTCTGATGGGCTGTTACTATAGCAACACTGGGCTGGAATCTCCTCTCTGGTACCCTGATTTAGATAGTGTGGTATGTGAGAACTGATGGGTCGCTCCTTATCAGTAAACACAAGGATTGTTTCATAAAGAAGGCAAACTCTGTTTGATGAATTGACTTGGTGTGAAATCAAAACAACTTCTGTTAGTGGAGAACTGTTTGGGGGTCGCAAGATGTTCCTTCTGCTTTTCATGTAACCAGTTCATGTACGTAAGTCTGCCTTACAAAAATGTACAAATGTGATAGAACCATGTTAAAATGATGTATCAGATTGAAATACTAAGGTGTAGAATGAATGTTATTCATGGTGTTTACATTGTAGTGTTTCCAGACTTTTGACAGGTACTGTACAATGTACAACTGTACATGTGTTAATGCAGTTTTGTGGACAATTAATAAGCCACTTAACAATTAGTGAGCTGCTTAATAATGAACCAAGTCACTCTGAGACCCTGAAAACACTTTTTTGCACTTTTCTTGAAGCGTATATACTGTATAGTTAAATCGCAACCTTTGCGATTCGAAAATCGCACTAGCAACATCACGATTTCTGTTTAATATTAGTATATTGTGTAGCCCTATACTAAACTGTATGTGTGTGTGTGTGTGTGTGTGTGTGTGTGTGTCATTCACTGAAACGTTAATTTCGCTGCTGCCAAGTGACTTTGCACAACCCACCTTTTCTCCCCTCTGCGACCCACAGTTTGAAAACCCTGAGGTAAAGAATCTAAGTGCAGTAGTATAGTATTTTATTAACAAAGAACTCAAAATGAAACGCTCATAAAAACAGAACTGAACAACCGGGTTAAACAGTACGGGAACTGACCAAGAACAGAAAGAAACACAGAGCTTAAATACACAGACAAACCAATCAACAAAATGAGTCACAGGTTTAAACGATACTCAAACAATATGTAACCAAGGAAATTATATGAAAACACAGGAAGCTTAAAGGGTTAGTTTACCCAAAAATTTAAATTATGTCATTAATGACTCACCCTCATGTCGTTCCAAGCCCGTAAGACCTCCGTTCATCTTCGGAACACAGTTTAAGATATTTTAGATTTAGTCCGAGAGTTTTCTGTCCCTCCATTGAAAATGTATGTACGGTATACTGTCCTTGTCCAGAAAGGATATAAAGACATCATCAAAGTAGTCCACGTGACATCAGTGGGTTAGTTAGAATGTTTTGAAGCATCGAAAATACATTTTTTTGCCCAGCCATATTTATTTGAACCCGAATACACGGACACACCAGATAACACGTCAGCAGCGTCTTACGTCATCAGCGTCACTGCGGACTCGTGAACGCGGATCCACAACAGAACCGGAAGTCGTAGTTTTTGTTATTTTTGGACCAAAATGTATTTTCGATGCTTCAAAAAATTCGAACTAACCCACTGATGTCACATGGACTACTTTGATGATGTCTTTATTTCCTTTCTGGACAAGGACAGTATACCGTACATACATTTTCAATGGAGGGACAGAAAAATCTAAAATATCTTAAACTGTGTTCCGAAGATGAACGGAGGTCTTACGGGCTTGGAACGACATGAGGGTGAGTCATTAATGACACAATTTTCATTTTTGGGTGAACTAACCCTTTAACTAAACTAGTAAAAACCCACCCAAACATACAAAGAACACAGATCACCCATCACACAATGTTGAAAACAGTTGTGCTGCCTAATATGTTTCTGTAAATTTTAAAAGAACAGCATTTATTTGAAATACAAATCTTTTGTAGCATTATAAATCTCCTAAGTTTCGTTTCTGATCAATTTAACTCATCCTTGCTTTATAAAAGTATTAATTCTTTCAACAACAAAAAAATCATACTGACCCTAAACACTTTAGAATGGTAGTGTATGTAAAACGTTACAAAAATGTGATTAATAATTAAGACATGCCCTAAAACCTGGCATTGCTGCCAATGAAATTTGCGTAAAGAGGTTGTATTAATATATATATATATATATATATATATATATAAAATAAATTCTCTATGTTCCTATCACAGAGGTTAACAGCTCACTTGAGGTGAAAATTTTCAATAAAAAAAATTACTTAAATTTCAATCTGTTCCTTATATAAAGCTATCATATGTCTTAGAAAATACCACACATATGGACTACTTTAATGGTTCTGAAACAGGTATGCTATTCGTTGTATGCAAAACAAAATAGCTATTTTTGTGTTCCACGCAAGAAAGAAAGTCATATGGGTAAATAATGACAGAAATTTCTTTTTTTAGAAAAACCATTTCCTTTAGCTTATGTGTCATTGCAGTGTGAGCTACTTTTCCACCATATGATACACAAACACATTTTAGTGTGAGTTTAATTATATCAAACGCTTTCTTCTTTGTCTCGCTCTCTTCAGGTTGGCTTCATGAGCTCGGGAAGCGGTTGGAGTCTCCATACGAGGAGGACATGGGAGCGGTCAACAGAACGCTGAGCAGTGGACCGTCTTTGCGGAGCATCTACATTGCAGCGCTGTACTTCACCCTCAGCAGCCTGACCAGCGTGGGCTTCGGAAACGTCTCTGCCAACACAGACGCAGAGAAGATCTTCTCCATCTGCACCATGCTTATCGGAGGTGTGTGTGTGTCTTTGCAGAAAGGTTGAAGTTTAGGAGATATTTTTAAATATATTTGGAGGTAGAACAAAATTGGATTATCATTAGGATCCAAAAAGTGGAGGCTGTGTGTCTGCTGCTTATTTAGAAACTAAAAACGAGTTTGAATACATGTTTGTACAAGACAATAGAGAAATATTGAAAAAGGTTGTAGATATTAAGTATTAAAGTGTATATAAAATAAAGTGTATAAGATTTGTATAAAAGTGTATATTTACAAAAAGTAAATTAAAATGTAAATTAAAAACATACAATAATACACAACATACAACAACATCAATGTCTACATAACCGCATGCGTTTACATACTGTATGTTCGTCTGTCATTAAATAAGAAGATATGAGGTCACGCCAGCTGTTCACATTCAAAATTCATGGCCTTTATTTTGTGAAATGTCACCATTTGCCATCGGGCAGTTCTGCTCCCTTCCCAAACATACAATAATACCCAATTACACACTCCAACATGTATGTACACATTCAGTCACCACCTGTGTATTACCAGAGATCTTAGAGAGACAAGAGCCTCTGAAATAAATAAATAAATAGGTTGGATTTTTACAGAAATGGAAAGGATCCATGCTGATCACTTTGTCATCTACAGAACTCAATAACAAAATTATTTTATACATTTTTATAAACTTTTTTTTTTAAATCAAGCTTGGATTTATTTTATTTTATTTATCATGGACAATGAACATTAAATATTGTTTGCAAGCTGCATGATAAAAAAAAAGTCATGTTGAATTTTCCAATTTTAACTTCATGTAGGGCTGTGTCACTAGCGATTATTTTGGTAATCAAGTAATCGGTCGATTATTTTAACGATTAATCTAAAAATTTTGGTGGTAATAAAAATAGACCTAGGCAAAGACCTAAGCCTTTAAAATGACTTAAAATACATATACCAACTTCTGCTGTTGCATCAGCAGCCAATGAGCTGCGGCTTAACATTCAAATACTGGTAGTGTTGCTGTTCATATTCATAATCTGCACTGCGCTTTCAGAAAGCATCTGAAATCAACATCTAAGATAAGTGAACACTCTTTTACTGCATATCTTTTTTAAATCGCGTGGTTTGCTAATTCCTAAATGAGCGATCATAACAGTTTAATCTATCTAAGCATTATGTTAATAGTCTTGTTGAGAGATTTACTAAGCATATACGCTGCAGCGTTTACGCAATTGTGTTTATGCCACAGCAAGCGGTCTATTGTATTTAATTGCTGTGAGGATATGCTGTCTAAGTTTACATATATAAGAAGGTTATAGTTAAAGTTAAAGTGGAACAAGCATTCGTGCTTTCAACGGAGTTACCATGTTTAGCTGCATACTCTAATGACGCGTTCATTTATTTCCAAGAGCAATGTTTTATTTTTCTATGCTTTCTATGCTGCACACAACATCAAACTACGCTCTGTCTTTATCGTCTCAACAACTTTTCACTCATCGATAAGAGTATTAGGTTATGTCAATGATACACCAAATGATTTAATTATGATACTTGCTCAGGTGGTTACTGGGTTTTTATTTCTATCAGCTTGCAACGTAAATCTGTTTTTAATGAGAACACTTATTGTGTATTTCTATAGCTAAGCGATTCGATGTGGTAGCCCTGGCACACATAGCATGTCTTACATGCTCACAGAAATGTCTGGGAATGTTGTGGCGAGCAGGACGAGGTCGAGAGATGTGAGAGAACGGCTCGAGGAGCGGAAGCGCAAAGGAGGAGCGACGACTGTGAAGATCGAGAGAGGACAGGCCTGAACTTATGTTGTGTTTTGTTTTATTATATGTGACACCAGTCGTTCGTGAGGGGCTGCTGTCTTTTACTTTCGTTCATCATTAATCACGCCACCGGCCTCACGCCATTCTCTCACGTCCCTCGACCTCGTCCTGCTTGCGACAAATGTATTGGCAGTAGCAAGTCTCAGTACTTGCTCTACAGCAGCAGCGTAGCAGATCTATTTCGCCAAGACCAAATACATTAACAATGCCATATCCATTATCATGTCAATCATTAGAGAGTTGTCATGACAGAAATATAATGAGGTAATAATATTTGGTTCAAACAAAATATCAAATCAAAAGCAAGTAATAATATGGTTTTATAGAACAACACTGTTAAAATACATAACATACATAATCTAAACAATAATCTTATGTACATTGTGTATTGTAACAAATGCCTGAAGAGGGTGGCAACGGTCTGATGATTGTTGTTGTTACGCATACAACTTGATCAAATCCTTGTTTAATATCGGCCAAACAACATTAAATTCAAATGTAATGTAAAAATGTAACCACTTCGTAATTTGTAATTCAAATTGGCCACTTCTTTGCGATAGAAATGCTACAGCCACTGTAATTTCTTGAACAGGAATATGTGGACATTAAAGGGGTCATATAATGGTACATGCACTTTTACAAGTTGATTGTACTGAAATGTGTGTTGGCAGTGCCTGTACACAACCATCATAAAATGATAAAAATCCATCCAGTGTTTTTGTTTTAATCTCCTTATATGTTTTCCCCCTGTCTCAAATCAAGCCGTTCGACCTTGTGACGTCACACGCTCGGAAGCCCCTCCCATGATTGTTGATTGACAGCAAGGTTTCAACACAGACCCGCCCTCGCTCGTGAGGGAGCTGTCAATCATAGTCCGCGCGGACCGGCGCGGTCATTGTTGATATGCTGGATCTTGTCTATGAGCAGAATGGCGTCTAAGCGATTGTGGTGTTCTGTTCTTGGGTGTAATAACGAACACCGCAGTCATTTTAATGTTCCTAAATCTGAACCGCTGAAGACGCAGTGGCTGAGTTTGTTTTCGAAGGGAATATTCCCCACGAGCAACGTCAATGCTTTCATGTTTGCGCGAATCATTTCTCACCAGACTGCTTTATAAAGGAGGGTCAGTATAAAGCTGGTTTTGCTAAGAAGCTGCTCCTGAAAAAAGGATCGGTACCAGCTCTTCGTGTTCCTGCTGAACCTCTAGAACAACTGAAGTGAGTGTAACGTTTTATTAAACTTTATATTAATCTTTGCAAATCGCTAGCTGCACGCTTCACAATGAATGCGTCTAAGGTTTACACTCAGGGTACATTACGGCATGTTTTCTATGTATGATGTTCTCAATATAATTCATAATCCCACGTTTATACTGAACAACGCGTTATGGTTATTGTGTTATTGTGTTACAAACGGTGTACGCACAGCACAGAGAGGCGGGGTGAGCAAAGCTCATTATCATTTAAAGTCATATGCACTAAAAACGGCGTGCTGAAAACAGAGCTGTTTTTGACCAAGTAAAATAAGTGTTTTCTTACAATACTAATGAGAATTTGTAATTAAAGTATATTACAAACTTTTAATTTAGACCCTAAAGAATCATACTAGCTTGTACAAAAATGGCATTATATGACCCCTTTAAAACATGCCAACTCAGAGTGAGGGTTTAAACTTTTATTTTGAAATCCCAATAACCAACAGTTCGCAAATTTAGAAACATATTGGCGTAGGTTTATGAAATGGCGCACATTGCGTTCCCAGATGAACGTTATAAGCAACCCAAACTCACAGCATATGTAGAGATGATGTTTAAGACGAGCTCAGTGCAATTTAATAAGTTCATGTGAAGCAGTACTGTGAACGGAGCCACTCTGAGACGCACATAACATACACACATGTAAATAATTAAACCGCATATATATATAAACGTATGTGCTGAGGATTTAAAAAAAAATATATATATATATTTTTTTTTTTAATCCTCAGCACATGTGTTTATTTTACTGAATCACAGCCTTTGTGAATTCACAATAGCACTTTCTATAGTATGGTTTTTAAATGGTTTTAATCCATCGAAAATGTTTTAATACTTAGAAAACGATCTAATAATGAGTAATATATTCTCGTCCATGGAACGTGCCACTTCCGGTATTTACTTATTTACTCTGTATTACTCGACAAGGGTAAATTGCAATCGAGGATTTTATATATAAAAAAATGGTTACTCTAATTTAATCTAGGAATCGTGACAGCCCTACATTCAAGTTTTGTGTACATTCATGCATATGTGTGTCGTTGTGTCTTTGGCAGCATTGATGCATGCTCTGGTCTTCGGTAACGTGACGGCCATTATCCAACGCATGTACTCGCGCTGGTCCTCTTACCACACGCGCACTAAAGACCTGAAGGACTTCATCCGTGTGCACCACCTTCCCCAGAGCCTCAAACAGCGAATGCTGGAGTACTTCCAGACCACCTGGTCTGTCAACAACGGCATCGACTCCAACGAGGTAAACCCCACGCTTCAGAGAGTATTACACAGCACAACTGAATCATTTGACGATGCGGAATTCCTTGCAGCTGGACTGTGCAAGATGAGCCAACTTTACAAGAATTAAATGTGCTTCCCTACTGCACTCCAGTGTTTCATGCAGTGTAACACTGGTACAGAACATTCAACTTTTAAACTGTCCTCTTCAGGCTTTTATTAACTCTTTATTATTAAGAGTTACTATTGGTTTCAAATCAAGAAATCACTTTCTACCTGCTAATGAATAACAGAAATAAAAAATTACAGAACCCACCTATAAATAATTATGGGTAAGCCGATAGACTGATAGACCAATATAATACTGGTCCGATTGACCAGTATTAAAACAGTATTTGGTTATCAGTTCCTAAATAATAGGTCACCAATAAATGCCATAATTTGATTATTGTATTGTTTGGATAATTATTTAACTTTTAAATTAATTAATTACATCGTGAAAAATGTGTAGCCTGAAATAAAGATGATAATGATGATAAAAATAAATCTTTCTTATTTTTTTTTTTTCATTATTAATATTATATAATATTTACTCTCTATCAGTATTTCATAAAAAAAAACAATAATGACCAATCTCTAATTACCATATTCACATACCATTGTATTTACATGGTACACCAACATGAAAGAAAACCATGGCATCACGTCCAAACCTACATTTTTATACTATGGTACTGTAAGTGATGTACTACTAATGAAGTAACATACTAAAGCCAAGAGCAAAGGAACAGCTAAGGCAAGTATAATTTAGATAGACAGTTGGACACTTGAGGAGGGGACAACTGCATGCGCTCTGTCCTTGAGCCTGGGACTTTATTCCAGAGTCCAGAGAGAAAGTGGGGAAAATGAGATGAAATCTAAACACCTTGCTAAATCACAGATTTATGAATAATAGATGGTGAGGCTGATGGCCGGAGAGCAGGAGACAGAGAGCGAGAGAAAAAGAGGGATGTGTGTGGTGTGAGTGAAGGGGAGAGTGACAGATGCCATTCAGTCAGGCTGAAGGATGGTTGCATATATGGATGGATGGGCAGAGCAGATGAAGGGTGGCAGAGGGCAGGAATGAGGCATGGCCGGAATACTTTCAGGGTGGGAACTTGTGAAGGCGGCATGCTTAATGATTTTAATGGCAGTTTAATTCATGTAATGTGCTGTTACGCAAGTTCACATAAAAAAACACAATACAGTGGGGAGAATAAGTATTTGATACACTGCCGATTTTGCAGGTTTTCCCACTTACAAAGCATGTAGAAGTCTGTCATTTTTATCATAGGTACTCTTCAACTGTGAGTGACGGAATCTAAAACAAAAATCCAGAAAATCACATTGTATGATTTTTAAGTAATTCATTTGCATTTTATTGCATGACATAAGTATTTGATACATCAGAAAAGCAGACCTTAATATTTGGTACAGAACCCTTTGTTTGCAATTACAGAGATCATACGTTTCCTGTAGTTCTTGACCAGGTCTGCACACACTGCAGCAGGGATTTTGGCCCACTCCTCCATACAGACCTTCTCCAGATCCTTCAGGTTTCGGGGCTGTCGCTGGGCAATATGGACTTTCAGCTCCCTCCAAAGATTTTCTATTGGGTTCAGGTCTGGAGACTGGCTTGGCCACTCCAGGACCTTGAGATGCTTCTTACGGAGCCACTCCTTAGTTGCCCTGGCTGTGTGTTTCGGGTCGTTGTCATGCTGGAAGACCCAGCCACGACCCATCTTCAATGCTCTTACAGATGGAAGGAGGTTGTTGGCCAAGATCTCGCGATACATGGCCCCATCCATCCTCCTCTCAATACGGTGCAGTCGTCCTGTCCCCTTTGCAGAAAAGCATCCCCAAAGAATGATGTTTCCACCTCCATGCTTCACGGTTGGGATGGTGTTCTTGGGGTTGTATTCATCCTTCTTCTTCCTCCAAACACGGCGAGTGGAGTTTAGACCAAAAAGCTCTATTTTTGTCTCATCAGACCACATGACCTTCTCCCATTCCTCCTCTGGATCATCCAGATGGTCATTGGCAAACTTCAGACGGGCCTGGACATGAGCTGGCTTGAGCAGGGGGGACCGTGTGTGCGCTGCAGGATTTTAATCCATGACGGCGTAGTGTGTTACTAAAGGTTTTCTTTGAGACTGTGGTCCCAGCTCTCTTCAGGTCATTGACCAGGTCCTGCCGTGTAGTTCTGGGCTGATCCCTCACCTTCCTCATGATCATTGATGCCCCACGAGGTGAGATCTTGCATGGAGCCCCAGACCGAGGGAGATTGACGGTCATCTGGAACTTCTTCCATTTTCTAATGATTGCGCCAACTGTTGTTGCCTTCTCACCAAGCTGCTTGCCTATTGTCCTGTAGCCCATCCCAGCCTTGTGGAGGTCTACAATTTTATCCCTGATGTCCTTACACAGCTCTCTGGTCTTGGCCATTGTGTGTGTGGACAGGTGTCTTTTATACAGGTAACGGGTTCAAACAGGTGCAGTTAATACAGGTAATGAGTGGAGAACAGGAGGGCTTCTTAAAGAGAAACTAACAGGTCTGTGAGAGCCGGAATTCTTACCGGTTGGTAGGTGATCAAATACTTATGTCATGCAATAAAATGCAAATGAATTACTTAAAAATCATACAATGTGATTTTCTGGATTTTTGTTTTAGATTCCGTCACTCACAGTTGAAGAGTACCTATGATAAAAATTACAGACTTCTACAAAACCTCCAAAATCGGCAGTGTAAAAAATACTTGTTCTCCCCACTGTATTTCTTTTCCTTATAATGTAAGTGACTGTTAACCACACCTTTCTTTTTTATTTTCCTTTCCTTTTTTCCTTTTCTTTTTCTCTTTTTATAATCCTCTTTCTTTATTTGCTTGTTCTGTTTCTCCTTTTTTCTCTTCATCCAATACACTCCCCAGCTCTTGAGAGACTTTCCAGATGAGTTGCGCTCGGACATCGCAATGCATCTGAACAAAGAGATCCTAGAGCTTTCCGTCTTCTCCTCTCTGAGTCGTGGGTGTCTCCGCTCTCTCTCCTTGCACATTAAGACGACGTTTTGCGCACCGGGCGAGTATCTTCTTCGGCAGGGAGATGCTCTACAGGCTCTTTTCTTTGTCTGCTCTGGCTCCATGGAGGTGCTAAAGGACAGCATGGTGTTAGCCATCCTCGGTCAGTTTACACAAACCCACCAATTACACACAATAACACAGTATAGCTCAAAATGTTCAGTGTAGTTTTAGCATGAAGGGAAAAATTACTGCCTCTCATTAAGTGAAGACTTTAGGGCCCATGTGCAGCCCCGCATTAAGAACACATGGGGCCCTGGGGCTATAGCCAACCCAAGGGCCCCCTTCATAGTAGCCTATCTTGGTGACACAACGTTTTCTACTGCATAAATAATTTGTATAGATATATTAGTTGAAAAGTTATATCATTAACACAGAGATACAATGTATTGTATCTCTATATAAAATGTGAAAATATTCCAGGCTACAACACATTAAAAGCATACATGCATTAATACCAAATATGAGGTCAAAGCAAACAGGTTTCTAGAAACAGCAACAACTTTTGCGCATATGACTGCCTTGCCTTGAGGAGTTTACTTTAATTAGGTTTATCATTAGAATGTGTTCTTTCTGACCCTAGAAGAGGAGATTCATCAGGGCTGGACTGGGGCTCAAATTCAGCCCATCCGGCCCAAATGTTTCCGCATTAATGTTTTGCTAAGTCCTTTAAATTGGAATAAACAACTAAATTAATGAATAAATAAAGGACAGAAACAAATAATTATAAATATTTTTGAATATATACGGCAAATGTGTTAAACAATATTAATATTGTATTATATTGCAAAGCTCTTAATTATTGAATTAATAATTTAAAGTTAAAGTTTATTAGAACTGAACATACTGTATCTACACAGAAGAAAATGTTATAGCTTTTTCCTTAATTCATCCAGGCTATAAAGCTCTTAAAGCTGCAGTCCGGAACTTTTCCTCTTTGTCGTCATCTCTCTGTTCGAAATCTGTAACTGCAGTGATTCGCGGAATTATTATCTTTACGTGGGTTGTAAATCGGCATGAAACAGCGCGGATGAACACAGTGCTTTGAGGCGAGAGCTGCTGTCAGTCACCGCGCTGTGTGGATATAATGTCATACAGAATCACAGATTCACTTTTTGAAAGTTTGACCAACATAAGAATTTTCATAAGAAAATGTCTTCTGAACAAGTAAGTAAAATCCATTTTTGTTCTGACCAACTAAGGGGGAAAAAGCATTCGACATGATAAGCTTCGTTAGATTTAATCAACGTGATTTACAGCAACCGTGCAAATTATAGCCTACTTTGTTCTCAAATTGTTCATGTTAACAACATCAGCATTGCGTGACTAATGTTAAATTTAATGTGTTTTATGGTTAGCAGCTACCTGTGTAGTTCAGAATTCATATTCTCCATAATAGCAAAACGAGAAAGGCACAACAAAGGAAACTCCATAACTGTGTGAATTAAGAAAACGTACTGTTACACGATTGAACTATTGAAATGTCTTACTTGTTCAGCAGAAAAAAAGCCATCTCTTCTCCGTTTTGAACCCCTTCAAAACACGGAGTTCAAGCACTTTTTAAAAGCCCCGCCGATGTTTAAATCCTTGTGTTCGCATGAGACGGTTTCTTTCTCTTTCTCTAGCCACCTTAAATCCGAAGTACGAAGTCTTTTGGGTTTTATAACTGCTGAATCTCCAGTTGACACTGATGATTGTTGTTTGGATCTTTCTGGATGCCATAAGTTTAATTATGTAAAGTGCTGCGAGAAAAGCCTATACATCTAAACATCTCGTCACGCGCAGTATAGCCGGCTATTGCCGAAACTCCTTCTTTATGTGTACGGGTGTGACGTCATGACGCAAAGACATGCTCGAATTTCCCGCGGAAACCCACCAGTACCACTGGAATTAAAATCATTATTACAAGCTAACCGTTTTGAATCTAGCTATGGCAAGCAGATAGTTTTGACCACTGGCAGAATAAGTTTTTTTTTTAATATAATTATTTTGGATTATTTTTAACTTAAAAAAGTTACGGACTGGAGCTTTAAATTCTCCTTTGTTGCCCCAATGAAAAGTTACCGTAGTCATTGCTTGGAATCCAGAGTTTCACTGTAAGATCAAGGCAAAAAAGAAAAGCTCCTCATTACCATGGTTTTATGGTTTTAAAGCTGCCGTCTGCAACATTTTTTTGATCATATTCAGTGAAATCGACACTATAATCCGACAGAACAACATAAATAAAGTGGTTTTAGAAAAAAACCCGAGCTTCTAACTCCACCTGGAGCGTGTTATTTGTTTTGCAAAAATCCACAGCTCCCGGATCATCGGGTCCAATCAGCGCAGGGGGGTGTGTGAGATCTGACTGTCAATCACAGATCAGGCACACACCACCCCTCACGCACGTTACAATCACATGCACACGCCGGAAGTTCGCGCAGTAACGAAGAGTGATGGCGGATGTATCTCGCTTTCAAAACACTAACAAATTAAGTAAGCTCATTTAGAGTATAAATGACGTTAGCAATTGCAATCTATCGGTAGATTAGCCAGGGCAGCATACCTCCAAATACTCCATGGTGTTGATGGATGCTGATGAGACGGGCGCGTTCACAGATAACCTGGTGCACACGCACTGACAAGCACGAACTCGGTGGGAGGGTATCCGTTGATAGTGGGGGAGGGGCATGAGAGTTGTAAACATTCAAAATTTTGCCTAAGTCCACTCAATCTGCCAGACTTGCCGACTGCAGCTTTAATATAACAACAACAATAATAATATTGCTAATAATAAACTATGGTATTTGTAATGAAAAACATCTTAAACACTATAAAACAACCTCTATTAAAGTGACCTTTTTTGCCCTTATATTACCCAATATTTAATGTAAGGCTAATAATAGTAATATTAACATATAATATCATATTTCTACAGCTTTAGTAATTGCATGGTATTTTTTAAAGTGGTGGCTCTGTGTGTATAGAGTGTTGCAGGTATGACGTACATTTTTAGGCCAAAACGCGGAAACTTCCGGTTCCATTGTCCCGAAGTAAGTAGGTTTTTTTAATAGGTTTTTGGTTAAATGGCTGAAATAAGGTATGTGGTTAACAAAATATACTTTTTAACGTTTTATTCTATGACATAAAATCATTTTTTTATGTGTCTTGAAAAAGGTGGTGGCTAAATGGGACTACAGAGACTGTCGGGGACATTAAACATCGTTATGCTTATAATTGTGCTCTTATAAACTATTCTAACTCCAAACTTTCTGGGAAAATGTTTTTAGAGAAAAACTGCAAGATTTGCTGGAAGCTTAGTGATGGTAATGTTGAATTTGTGGGACCGTGGTGTAGTTCGTTTATAGCCTACCTTTACCTTTGTACTTCTGGCGACTGCATTTAGGCTTCAAAATTCATAAAAGTTTTGTTCATCTGTGGAAATTATCTTGATGGACAAAACTTGTAAGTATCATAAACTTTTGTTGATCACAGAGCTTTTTTTTTTTTTTTTGCAATAATCCAAAAGCCTATGGAAAAATCCTACTGGGTTTCATCACTTGGCTTTTGGTCCTTGTTTCCTAGGTGCTCCACTAAATAACAGTGCTTAATATGCAGGGGCATAATGGGGTATTGGCGATCGACCCACTGGAAAAAGTTTAGGAGCAACCGATGGCCAGTCAATCTACTCCACAGCCAATCATGGGCCCCCTCCTATAGCTCGGGCCCTGGGGCTTCAGCCCCGCCTAGCCCTATTGTTAATGCAGCCCTGCCCATTTGTTCCTACAGTAGCCAACAAAAACTGCTCTCTGTGATTGGTCTCTCTCTCTGTGAGGCTTCACACACACAGCAGGCTCATAGGACAGTGGAACTAATGTGTGAAAAAATAAAATCCTCATCATCCTGTTAGGTCCTGCCTGTGTGTGTATGCGTGTGTGCGCATGTTTGTGTTTGTGTTTGTGTTAATATCACCTTATGAGATCTGACAAGAAAAGAACACACACTATCTTTCTCATCTTTACCTCACACTCTCTCTCCACCCTGCTGACAAAGGAAGGTCTCTCTGACATTGAGTTCTCAAGAAGGTTCTGTTTTTTTGTGTGTTTATATGCGTGTGTGCTTTTTATACAGTATGTTTCTGTGCTGCTAATAGAGCTGTTTGTAGTCCCACAGTGCTAAAGTGCTCAACAAATTATCATTTTAGAGCCATGATTTCCCTTGGGAGTTTCTAATGGGTTTTAAGAATGGTGGTTTTCGATTTATGTGTAAAATACAGTCTCTGGTTAACATTACTTAAAAACAATTAATGTTTTTGTTGTATTAAATACATTCCTCATAGAACCCATGTTGGATTAGCTTGCCACTTTAGCCTACATATTGACACACTGACTGAACACTCCTGTGATTCCTTAGTGATATCTGACAAAATATTCACGTGTTTTTGCATCTTCCTCTTTGTTCATGTGCTCCTGTGTGATACGTCCAGGTAAAGGCGACTTGATTGGTGCCAACATGTCAGTTGATGACCGCGTCATAAAGACAAACGCTGACGTGAAGGCGCTGACGTACTGTGACCTGCAGTGCATCAATCTAAGGGGTCTGTATGAGGTGCTTGACCTGTATCCTGAATACTCCCACCGTTTTGTGCAGGACATCACGCACGACCTCACCTATAACCTGAGAGAGGGACAAGAGAGCCACGTAAGACCACTGTGTTGTTATACTAACATTTTTTTTAACCGATTCATTCATTTATTTTTCCCGGTTGCCTAAACTCTTAATTCATCTTTGTAGCTGTTAAAGCCTGACCTGATCGTCACCTGATTCAGTTTTTTGATTTCATGGACCCAAGATTCATAGACAGACAGACAGACTGATTGATTGCTTGCGTATGTGTGTATGTGAATGTACACTACCGTGCAAAAGTTTGGGGTGAGTTCAAGATTTTAATGGGGTAAGTTAAAGAAATGACATACAAAATTACAGTAAAAACAGTAATATTGTGAAATATTTATCCCTTTAATTGTTTATTCCTGTAATGGCAAAGCTGAATTTTCAGCATCATTACTCCAGTCTGCAGTGTCACATCAGAAATCGGTCTAATATGCTGATGCTGCTCAAGAAATATTTCTTATTATTATCAATGTTAAAAACAATTGTGCTGCTTATTATTTAGTGGGAAACGTGATATTATTTCAGGATTCTTTGATGAACAGAAAGCTCAAAAGAACAGCTTTTACTTGAAATAGAAATATTTTATAACATTATAAATGTCTTTATTGTCACTTTGGATCAATTTAATGTATTCTTGCTGAATACAATATTCATTTTTTAAGAAAAAAATCTTACTGACCACAAACTTTTGAATGGTAGTGTATGCTGTTGACATATAGTCATATGTGTCATTTTCCAGGTCATATCCAGAATGTCCAGTAAGTCCATGGACACACAGGTGTGTCTTCTCCTAAGCTGTCAATCATTCCACACTTATCCACTAACAGTGCTGTGTTGACTATAATAGCTTGGGGCTCATTTCCCTAACAATGATCTACCTCCCGCCTCATTTGCCTAATGAGGGAAGCTAAAAACACTACAGCTCTGAAACAGCAGGGAGAGAGAACGAAAAATTGATGATGATGGTGATGATCATCTTCCCCATTCCCTGTCCTTCCATGCCTGAAGCAGTAATCAGGGAGGGAGCGGCGCTGGAGGAAGGGGAACAGCGCGTTTAGGGGCGAGGGAGGGGTAAAAGGAAGGGGGGGTGGGGGATTTATTGAAGTGCCGGATGACTGACTGCTTTAGGAAACTGCTGCTCTTTCAATTACAGTGTGAGGGAGCCTCAATTATTCAACAGGGAAAATGACCAAATTATTATACGAAAAGTGTAATTAATCAGATATATATAGAACAAGAGAGGGGAGCACAAGATTAAAAGAGAAATAGATGGGGAATACCCCTCACGTTTATTCCTTCTCTTTGCTGTGTTTTACCTCTTGACTTTTCCGACACCTTTCAGTGGACTGACATTTAAAGTGTTCTATAAATGGAGATTGTTATTTCCAGCCAACGTCGTTGCAGTTTCACTGTGTAATTGGCAATGCGTGTAAGAACCGTGAGGTGTAAAGCACAGCAAAACCCATTACAATGACTATTATTGTGCAGATTCAATCGAGCCTTTAGGGTTCGTTCTGTGACATAATCACTCCAAGATCATTATATTATCAAAGGCCAGCTGTTCTAAATGCGTTAAGGTCAAGTCTTCCCGGTTTATTACTAGCAAGCAAGGTCAAAGTTCAAGTTATAAGACCACTACCATTACATGAGTTTTACCTAAGGACATTCACTTTGATGTGTTTCTGCTGTTTCATAGCTTTTGTCTAATTGGTCCTTGAGGGAAAGTGTGTAGTGTGTGTGTGTGTGTGTGTGTGTGTGTGTGTGTGTGTGTGTGTGTCGCAATAGTACCTACATTGAAGTCCATATTGAAAAACACATCTGTTTACTTGTCCATTCTCTGACTAAGCAGTGCACTGCACTTAAGCTTACTGATTTTTAGTGCATTGTTCATGTATTTTATACAATGTTCTTTTTTATTTGTTTTGGGCTTTAATTTTTATGCATTTATTTTCTTACTATTTTTTTTATTCATCAATTAATAATCTTGCTGATTTATATTCATTGATCATAAAATATGACTGTAAATGCTGACCTTTTTTGTGAATCAGCTGTAGCCAATAATCAATTTAAGATATATTTAATGGTAATATTGATACTACATTATGCTTATAATGATTCCAATTAATAATATTAATAATAATTTACAATATTTATAATAATATAAATCATTCAAATATGCTGATTTGATGCTCAAGAAACATTTCATATTATTATCAATCTTGAAAAAAAATTTTTTGTGGAAACTGATACACTATACAATTCAAAAGTAAAAGTAAAGGTAACAGTAAAGACATTGATAATGCTGTTCTTTTGAACTTATTCATTAAGTCATCTTGAAAAATATATCATGGTTTCCACAAATATTAATGGTATAGTCCGCCAAAAAATGAAAATTAGCCCTTTACCTTAACTTTAAAGGGCAATTAACTTTTTTACCTTAACCGAACAGCTTTGGAGTGAGTCATTGTAATGTTTATATTACTGATTTCGTGTTGAATGGTGGTCGTTTCGTACCCCCCTGGTGCCTGTGAGCCGCAAGACCAACCTTGCAACTTTAGGCCGGCGAGCCTGAAGGCCTCATTATGCTTCTGCGTCAACTCCTACGGCGTCGTGGCCGTTTTATGGTTCTGCGTCAGGTTGCGTTGCATCGCGGTGCATTTCACCGCCAGAACGCTAGGGGCGTGTGTGCTTCGCGAATCTCTTTGCTAGTTTGTTTTGGTTCCGTTCCGCTTTCGTTTCCATTCATACCCTTCAAATTGCGCAAATTGAAATTGCGAATTGAAAATACGCACAATGGAACCACGTTCACTTCGCAAAAACTCCCGTTTATCGCAAAAAAGATTTTATGCTCCCATGAGGAGGTTTTTCAGGCAATTCGAAAAAGGAATATTTCGCAAAACTGCAATGGAAACAGGTTTTGCGCATTTACCTGACTTAGAAGACGCGGTGTGTTACGGGTCCGCGTCCGCAAATAATAATAATAATTATCATCATTACCTATTATTATAACATTTATTAGGCTACATATGTAGAAGACGCTTTTATCCAAAAAAGGAACAAAGCAATTCGTCACATCTCATTCAAAATACAGGTTGAATAATAAAATACAGACAATAATACAGGGCTAAGATTATCACAAATAAACACAAGATTTTGACGCATATCCAAGTGTTTGTGCGGAGTGTGGAGCGCGCACTGGACGGCACGGAGGCGCGGGTGCGAACACTTGCATTTTTCTATCAACAGTGGAAACAACTTAAAATACTCTATCATTTCTGGTCATACAGAAAATAATAATACATTATTCGCAACTACTTTTAGTTGCGTAAACTCACAATAACAAGAAAACGTTGTGGTTTTGTAAAATAAAATAAAACAATCAGGCGCGCCTTCATGGTCTCCGTGAACTTAAGCGCGAGAACTGAAACAAAATATCGCCTATGTGGGCTAAAGCTTGAAATGTCCACTTTAAAACGAACAAATTCGAATCGAAAGCTAATATCTTCTGATTATGTAATCCGTATGAAAGGTGAATTCTCTCTAAAGGTGCATCCGGAGATGGAGATATGTTTTTAGCCGACATTGATTTAGAAAACAATAATTTATTAATAAACAATTAAAATGCCTCGTTATTTTTTCAGACACATTTATTATAGCCTATAACTCACCTATAAATCACCTTTTTGTAGGCTGTGGTTATGGTCTTCTCATTCAGCACTGCGGGAAAAATATCATTTCCAGGTTCTAATTTGGCCTTAGAAAACCAGTAAACTCTACATTTTTTCCATATTAATTTGTGAATATTTTAAATGTTTAATAAAGGGGCAAAAAATCATAAACAAATATCTTAAAATTCGTCGATATTTTTTTTTATTATTATTATTTTTGCGCAGCATTTGGTGTACAGTTCAAATTAAAATTTTGGTGTTCAACTTTGCGTTTTAAAAATACAACAAGAGTTCATTTTTCGTTTTGCGATTACGGGTTAAATAAGGGAAAACGAATAGACACAAAAGTACACTGACCGTTTGGAATTAATACGAGACAGAGTTCTTTATTAAATTTATAAAAGAAACAATAATTACAGGAATAGCCTACTGGACTCTAAACCTCAAAGAAATGCCACAATCAAGACCTCGGAGCATAAATGAGGGAGAACTCCGTGTCTTTCCCTGCCATCAATGCTTGGATAACAATAGGTTACTGTCGTAACCCCGGTTCTCTGAAACATCGAGTGGAGAGATCCACCTATGGGAAGGGCACCCGTACCTGACCTCTGCAGAAGCATCCAATTGCACCAAGTCTGGCTAACAGACAGAAGCGCGCAGCCAATGCCAGGTGAGGCCACACCCCCTTACCTACGGGCATATCACAGCTGGGCGCGCTGCTATTCCTCAGTCAGTATATTCGCTTCTCGTGCGGCAAGCGGGGCAAGGCTGGTGGATCTCTCCACTCGATGTTTCAGAGAACCGGGGTTACGACAGTAACCTATTGTTCTCTTTCATCATCTCGTTTCGAGATCCACCTATGGGAGAGACATGGACAGCTCCCCGATTGCCCAATACACTCACAGTGAGGTTCTGAAGGCCAGAGAAGGACGGTCACCTCAGAGAGGCGGTGCCTGACACGTCCCACAAACATGACCCTGCAAGTTTTCCGCCACGCTAACTGCTGTGGACAAGCAGGGCATGAAACATGCATGAGACACATACATGATAATGGCCCCCGCACCACCAATGCACATAGCTAAACCCAAGAAGGAATGCGAATGCTTGGTGACAGGAATGAACATGGCCAGCCGGCCCATTCACTCCTCGTTGGTTAACCAAACGGGGCTGTGGGAAAGGGCTAAGAGGACCCTACCCCTAGGACCGAGTGTGCCACCGAAGTTCTGGTGACATCCAACCGGTAGTAACGCTCAAAGGGATGAGGAGAGGCCCAGCTGGCCGCGGAGCAGATGTCCTGCAGTGGCACTCCCCTGAACAAAGCCCAAGAGGCGGCTAAGCCCCTTGTGGAATGAGCTCTGA